AGCGAGAGGGGAAGGGGTCAGGACTCGAGGCTCCCCAGCACGGCGGCAGCCTCGCCGCTCTCGGCGGGCACCGGTGGCTCCCGGAGCGGCGCCCCGGCCCAGACCCCGCCGGTGCCGGTGCCGGTGCCCGGGCCGCGCCGCCGGTGCGGTGCTGCCACCCCGCGGCCACGGGGACCCCCGGCCCCGGGAGCGCCGGTCCCTGCCGACCACCTCCCCGCTGTCCGAGCCCTCAGGGCCCCACAACAACCCACCCCTCTGCCTCAGCTCCTCCGGCAGCCACGGCCCCCCCTGCCTCAGTCCCCCACTCACTTGCGCCGCTGAGCCGGCGGCTGCTTCATGTCGTTCTGCATCCTGCAAGGCAGAGCACCGCAGGTGAGGACGGGCCGGCGCCTCACTATCCCCCCAGCACTAGAGACTCCTGCCCAGGGCGATGGGATTGTGTTGCCCGTTTGCAAATGGACAAGAACGCTGCCTCCAGCCCCACTCCCCCCAAGGGGTTGTCATCAAACAGCAGAACAGCTCCAGTCATCCTGAGCACAGAGCTTCTGGGCCACTGACTGCTGGTCAGGCTGGCCAGGAGAGATGACAGGAGCACCCAGCACCTCCCACCATTCCAACCACTGTCACACAGACAGAACCGACCTGACGTTCACCATATCAGCCGGGGTCCCCACGAACCCACCAGTGAAACCTGTGGCAAAAGAAGAGCTGGGTCAGGGGAGCGTCCAGCCTGAGGGAGCTGGAGCTGAGGGCCCCATTGCCTGGCTCACCTCCTGCTGCAGCCATAAGCACTTTCTGGTAGAAGGGGGGAGGCCCCTGCCTGCCCTGGCCCAGGTGTTTCTTTGCAGTCTCATAGATGCCAAAGCGAGTCAAGGAATACGTCATCTGGAGGAGAGGGATATGAGTGGCTGTGCCTCTGGTAGAGGGCAGCCTGTCAGCTCCAGGGGCTCTGCAGCATGGCAGGGGCTCTGTGCTAGCCTTGGGGGCCCAGGGGCCAGCAGGGCACAGTGGCACTCACCTGCCGGCACAGCGAGGCACTGAGCCCATTGTAGAGAGCAAAGAAGCCGTCGGTGCGGATCACGTGCATTGCCATCCCCATCATCCGCATCTTCACCTCCTGCTGTGTCTGCAGGTGGACCTGGGGCAGAACGCGGCAGCATCAGCTCAGCACCAGGCTAGGCAGGGATTGGGAGTGCAACGGGCAGCAGAGCAGGCATGAATGTGAGCATGTCAGGCTAACGCGTCAGCATTGCCCAGGAGCCAACAGCAACAGCTCTGGGCTTCCCACACCTGAACAGGACTTGGAGACTGGCCCAGCCTGACACTGGAGAGCTGGAGGCAGTGAGGGAAGGGGAGTGCCCAGGCACCTGCCCACAGCCCTTCCCAGGCCCTGCCCTCAACATTAGGTTCCAAGATGAGAGGTGGTGCCTGCTCCTCCCAGAAGAACCCTGGACCACCTCAGGGTGGGGTGGTCCAGCAGCACCCGAGCAAGTGAGTGCCCAGTATGGGTTTGCTCAGAGGGATGCAGTCGGGTCAGTAAAGTCATGGCCATGCAGGGTGGCAGGCCTCCAGAGCCACTTTCTCTCCTCCCGAGTGCAGGAATCGCAGAGGCAGGAAGAGAACCCCATGGCCGGCCAGATGCTCTCCTTCCCTCTTGCAGCAGCCCAATGCTTCCCACCATCACCAGGCGCAATGCATGGCAGTGGGAATTGTGGGGGGCTGGCCGGGACACACGGGAACTGTGTCAGCTGGTTCCAGAGCATGCTCTGAGTGCTGCGAAGACATGTGCAGGTCAAAGGCCCCAGGAGATAAGGAGAGCAAAGGGCCGCTGTCGGGGGACCAGGCCTGGCTCCTGCTACAGAAGCCCCAGCACAGCTGGGCCGTGGGACACACCACAGGATGCTGGGAACAGCTGCTGTCTCCCACGTGAGGCACCAGCAGGGGTGCAGGGGCCTGCCTTCAATGCTGGCAGGTGGATTTTGGATGTCAGGGACCAGAGCTCGTGGTGTGTGGTGTGTGCCAGCTTCAGGTAGCCTGGGGCAGAGGAAACAGGCAGGCAAGTCAGGCAGAGCCATGCTAGGATGCGCTCCGCCGCCTGCTGTCCCAGGGCTGCAGGAAGGGCAGGCAGGCGGGCAGGGGAGGGGCTGGCCAGGCCGTGGGTGGCTGGTGGCTGCAGAGAGCCGGCCTAAGGGCACAAGCACTGTCCAGGCTGGCTGGCTGCGGCCTCCTGCTGAGGCTAAGGTCCAGAGCAGCAGTGAAGTGCCCTTCGTACCCTGCCCTGCCGGACCCTGAGGCCTCCTGTGCCTCACCAGGCCTGGTGCCAGCCCCTGCTGCAGGGGAGCTCTGGGTCAAAGACAGGTCTGTGATCAATATTCGGATGTGAACCCTCTGGCAAAACCTAGCAGTGGGCTGGACTGCTCTCAGCCCTGTACACTCAGGGGCTGCACATCTGCAGGGGACAGCAAGGGGACATGGCCCAAATGTCACACCCGTCATGCTGGCTCAGAGACAGACCGAGAGGCATGTATCAGACTAATTCCCTTTCTTAGCGCCTTGCCAGGGAATCCCACACAAGTTCCCATGGGCTGGCAGCCACCTCTGTTGGGCAGACAGGGCCAACCAGGCACAGCAACAGGCTGAACAGGCGGCATCCCCTTCTCAGGGCTGGTTGCTCTCCTGTGCCGAATACATCTTCCCCTCCCTCCACGTCATGGGGTGGGAAGGGGCTGTCTGTCCCAGCCTCACCCGTGGGCACAGCCCTGGGCAGGGTAGGCCCTGGCCTGGGCTGGCTCTCCCGCTGCCCCTCCGCAGCCTGCCCGGCTGCCAGGCTCGTCGCCGCTTGGCCGGCGCACAAGGCTCCAGGCAGCGCTGGCACTCGCCCCGTCCGTGGGTGCTGGCAGTGCAGGGCTGCGCGCGGCGCCCTTTGTGCGGCAGTGGGGATGCCAGGTCATCCGCGGCGCCTAGGTGACATCTTGGCCGGAGGGCTCAGAGCCCAGTGGGACAGTGTCCAACACCGCCAGCCCTGGAGTTACTGCCGTGCCCGGGCAGGGCAGGGCAGGGCAGGCCAAGGCGTCCTCCACAGCCCCCAGGGAGGACACCCCGAGTACCCCAGACCCCTCAGTCCCACACATCTGTCCCTGCCCCTGGGTTGGGTCTGTGACCCCTCAGCCCTGTCCCCGGGCCCCAGTGCTGGCTCCCTCCTCCCTGAGCCCAGGCCCATATACCCGTACAGCCCCAAACCACGAGATCAGCCCCTCAGAACCGATCCCCGGCAGCTTTTTCCCTGGTGCTCTGCAGCTGTTCTCTGGCCTCGCAGTCACCCTGGGATCCTCACAACCGTCCTCCCTCACTCCTGCCCACCTTCCCCGCAGCCAGGTCCCTCACAGTCGGTCCTGCTGCTGCTCCAGGACCCTCAAACCTGCTCCTCGTCCCCTCACAGCCTCTCCAGGACTTTCACAGCCACTCTCAGTCCACTCAGAGCCACCTCCCCTCCCCTGGCAGCACTCTCCTGGTCCCTCACCCACTCCGGGACCCTCAGACTCGCTCCCCAGATCGGCTCCCCATCCCCTCGCAACCTCTCATGGACCCTCACAGCCACTTCCAGCCGCCCAGAAGCCCCCAGACCCGCTCTCTGTCCCCTCACAGCCGCCCCCCGCCCCGCAGCCCAGACCCTCAGACCCGCTCCCCGTCCCGCCGCGACCTCTCCGGGACCCCCACAGCCACTCCCAACTCCCCCTAACCCCTTCCCCAACTCCTCGCAGTCGCTCCGGGACCCTCAGAACCACCACCAGCCCCGACAACTGTCCCCCAAACCCTCCCAGCCCCACTAACCGCCTCCCCATCCCCTCACAGCACCCCCCCACGCCACCGCAGCCATTCACAGCCGCTCCGCGCTCCTCAAACCCGCTCCCTCTTCCCCTAAACCGCCTCTCACACGCCGTCAGAGCCGCCCGCCCGGGCGTGTCCCCCCCTCACCTTCAGCAGGTCCAAGGGGTGGGTGCAGCAGGCGGCCCCGGACGACGCGAGGCCGCCGAAGTACCAGCGCGAAACGCGCTGCTCCGCCATGGGCTCCGTGTCTGCCGCAAGCCACGCCCTCTTCCGTTAAGCCACGCCCCTCCCGTTAAGCCACGCCCCTCCCGGTACCGGAGCCGGGGAGGGGGCGGACCCGGCCGCCGCATCCTCCGGCCCAGGAGCGGAGCGCAACCCCCCCAGCCTCGCGGGCGGGGGCTGCCGCGGCGACCCCAGGCTCCAGAATCCTCCTTCCCCTGCCACACGCATCCCCACAGCCTGTGCGAGTGGCTTCTTCCCGGTAAAAATTAACAGGGATTAACTAACGGGGAGGTGAAGGCATCTGCAAAAAAGCGACCTGAAGAGGTGGGGGATGCGCGGGTACGAACAGCAGCGTTACCAGTGCACACATGCAGAGCGCGGGGAGAATCAGCAGCTCCAGAACACTCATTCCCAACCTGCACACATCTCCACAGCCCGTGGAAGTAGCTTCTTCCCGTTAACAACTAACGGGGAGGGGAGACTATCGGCAAAAGGCAGCATTAAGTTACGAGGGGAGTGATGTCACAAGGAGGGGCGTGATGTGCTAGTACAAACTTCAGTACTTGAAGGGAGCCTACAAGAAAGATGGAGAGAGACTATTTAGGAGAGCCTTGAGTGACAGGACAAGAGGGATTGGCTTCACACTGAGAGAGTAGCTTTAGGTTAGATAATAGGAAGAAATTCTTCCCTGTGAGGGTGGTGAGGCCCTGGCACAGGTTCCCCAGAGAAACTGTGGCTGCCCCATCCCTGGAAGTGTCCAAGGCCAGGCTGGAGGGGCTTTGGAGCAATCTGGGATAGTGGAAGGTGTCCCTGCTCATGGCACGGGATGGAATGAGATGATCCTTAAGGTCCCTTCCAACTCAAACCATTCCATGATTCTATGAAACGGTGACGTTACCAGTGTGCACACACAGAGCATGGGGATAATCAGAGCTGATTTGGGAGAGATGAACTGTTTTACATGGTTTTTTTTATATTTATAAGGTAGAGTTCATGGTGATAGAGGAAGGAGGCAGCAGCTCTGCCAAACCACAGTGTTTTTTGGGAGAGCACTCCCACCACGCCACGCACTTGGAAAGGTCCAGGCCCAGCTTGGGCAGCAGCCGTTGTGCCAGTCCCTCTGGGGTGAGACTATTCCAGAACAACAGTCCCTCCTGCTGCCTCCAGCGCCGCTTTGATCTTCTCTGCTTCCTCCTTGGAGGCGTTTGCCTTGATCTCCTGCGGAAGGGACTCCACCAGCTTCTTGGCCTGTGGGAGGGACAAAGTACGAGGCTCATAAAGTGTCTTTCACTAACTGGATTATTGGATTTAGAGCCATGAGCCTGACCTCTGTTTAGGATCACCAGGGAAACTCACCGACCAGTACAAACCCCAAGACTTTCACTTGAACTACGGCACATCCCACCAGAAGGCGGCTAAACCTGACCGTGAGTGGCAGTACATCCACTGCAAAACCTTTCCCAGCGATTTGCTGCTCCTCAATTCCTCCCAGCATGTGTGTGGTGCTCCCAGATGTGCACCCCTGGCCTGTGCAGGAGTAGGGGCAGGCAAAGGCCCACGCAGTGACCTACTAAGGCAGTGGCTGCCTGGCGCTGGGCCCTGTTCAGTGTCGGTGTTTTGGTTCACATATTTGTGCCAGCAGGAGGGGAGGCCAGTGCAGAGTTTGGATACAGCTGCACTGGGTAAAACAGAGATCCAGCACAGACTAGACTCGGTAACACCTTATTTTGACATTTTAGGGACTTTTTAAGCAAAACTACTGGTACTAGGCAGCAGTGCAATACTTAAGGAAAGCTGAAAAGCTGCTGAGCTGATTTAAGGGACTTATGGCAGTGCTGCTGTAGAGAGGGAAGAGAGTCTGGGGGGACAAGCCCCTGCTGTGGTCAGACCCTCCTGCTCTTACACCCAGCACCAGTGAAGCTATTTGGTTCCTTGAAACAAACCCCAGCTGGTTCCCAGGTGAGAAGCCACGGCTCCCTGCTGTGGCTCAGTGGGGCTTTAGTACCCACTGGACTTGCTGCTGCTGGCAAAAGGTTTTGTCCTTTTGATTCCTGCTGAGCACAGTAACAACATATCTGCAGAGGGAAAAAATGCCTTTTTTTTTGCTGCGGTGAGCAGGCACAGCCAGCGCCCGGTAGGGCAGGAATGCCTTCACTCACCAGGACAGGGGTCGGACAGGAGCCTGTTCTGTCTTGCTGGGATGAGAACAGGCAACACAACCCAGGTTATTCATTTCAGAACCCTGCTCACCAAGGCGTGACTCCATTCTAAAGCAGCCCTGGTTGAGGGAAGCAGCTGTTCCTGGCGCCTGGCGGAAGAGCAGGGCCTGAGCCAAGCAGTATCCACACAGCAGCAGTCATGAGGCAGAGGCAGCACATTCCCAACCCAGTCAGGCCTGGGACTGGCAGTGATACAGGGTCAGTGTCTGCTGGGAGGCTCTCAATGAGCTTCCTGAACCGAGGATGGCCTCAGTCCGGTGTGTGCTGACCACACACCTCTCTCTTCACGCAGTTGTTGCCACAAGACTGACCTGTTTGGGTCCCACCAGCACCCAAAGTCCTCATGAGCCACGCTCTCCTATAAACAATCAGGTCACAAGCAAGATCCCCTGCAAACCTCATTATAACACCTCAACTGGATGGCCATAAAATTTACAACAAAAGCGCATCAGCTCTACTTTGAACATAACCTCTGCAGGCAGAACCCCTGTAATCAGCCAATTGTTTTGTGTGCGTGTTTTAACCAAAGTGCCAGGCCAGGTACATCACACTGGAGTTTGCCTGCGACAGCCAGCACCTACAAACAGCTCGTCCAATAGGTGCCACATGCTAAGCCAAGCTCATTTAGCATCAGCTCTCCAGTTAATTATCTGCTGATTACATCCATTACAGGGTTTGGTATTTTCATGTTTGCTTTGGACCAACAATGGACAAGCAATGTCCAGAGGAACCAGGCTGACAGTCAGGTAATTATCCCTGTGGGGGAGCCAAACTTGCACCTGTGCCACCGAGTTTCTCTGTTGGCTTTGCAACAAGAACAGGTCAGAAGATTGTTCGCGAACCTTCCTGCTATTCCAGATTACAACAGGAGCAGACTCTGCAATGCTCAACGCTTCAGATGGATAAATGGAAAGTGCTCCTACTAAACCCCAAGATATGGTAGAATCACCCAGTGGAGAAGTGCAGCGCGTTAAATACTTTGGTAAGTAGCAGCTTCATCACCCCTAGTGAGCCCACACCCCAGCTCAAGGGCACAACCTCAGATGTTGCCCAGGGCTGTGAAAGGCCCAGTCTCCTCCCCGGAAAGAGGAAGAAGCATCACCTACAAAATAAAAAGCCCTGAAAAGACATGGAAGCCTGGATCGAAAGGTGTGTGAATTAGAGAAACTCATCTAATTCAGAAATACATTGGTTTTGGGAAAGGCAAGCCAAACTGAGCTGTAGTGAGGGAATCCTGTGCTCTGCAGGAAAGCTCATAGCAGCTCTCAAGTTTGGAGAAGCTGGCACTGGCACGAAGGACTCTGAGATCTTTGTTCTGGGTCTCCTCCTTCATCCTCCCACTTCTGCCAGGGGAAAACGCCAAAGACACAACCAAATCTTGCTCCCCACTTTGTCCATGCCTCTGCACTGAGGTGGACACAGGCAGACTGTGCTCCTGCACACGGAATCCAGGCTCCCTTTGGACAGAGAGCCAAGGTTGCTGGACCCATCTGGGCCCGGGGGCAACATGCTGGAAGCTGGGGCAGCCCCTGCTCACCTGCACGAGGTTCACTCCTGGCACGAAGTTCTTCACCTCCTTGATCAGCTTCACCTTGTCAGCGGGTTTCAGCTCTGTCAGCCGGACGGTGAAATGTGTTTTCTCTTTCTTGAGCGGGACCTCCTCCTCCTCCTGAAGCAGCAGGAGAGCGGTGAAGCCCCGCGGCCAAGCCCACCAGCCCCGCCCGCTGCCCGCGCGTGGGGCCCTCGGGGCCGACACGGAGCCCCCGGGGCCCCATTCTCGCCCCTCTCCGTACCTGCGGAGCCGCCTGGGCGGGCACGACGGAGGCGGCGGCCGCGGCGGGCATCACCCCCACGTCAGGGATCTTCAGCGTCTCCTGCGGGAAGAGCAGCGGCACCGGCGGCCGGTCAGGCGGCGCACGCGGCCGGGCCGGGATGAGCGGGATCGCCCCCCGCACCCACCTTGAGCAGCGCGTTGAGATCGGCCACCTCCAGCAGCGTGAGCCCCGCGATGTCCCGCACCAGCTGCCGCACTTTGGGCGAGTACTCCTTGGCGGCCGTGTCCAGCGGCGCCCCTGCCAAGGCCTCCGAGCGCCGCGCGGGGCCGGTGCCGAGGGCCCGCAGCCCGGCGGTGGCGGTGGCGGTGGCGGTGGCGGCGCGGGGCCCGGGGCGCGGCGGGCGCGGCAGGCGCGGCGGGAGCAGCGCCCGGCGGGCGGCGGGGAGCGCGGCGGGCAGCACCGCGGGCAGCATGGCGGCCCCGAGGACACCGAGCGCTCCGCCCCGCGCTCCCGGCGGGCCCCGCGCCGCTCCGGCCCGGCACAGCCGACAGAGGTGGAGCGAAGCGATCTGCCCTGGGAGATGTAGGCAAAGCCTGGTAGCGTCGCCCCCTCCCGCCCAGCACACGAGGCCGCAGCTCGTTCCAACGCTTTATTGTCACCGTTCGCGCTCTGTGTCCCCCGCGAGGGGCGGGGACGGGACGGGCTCGGCCCGGCGAGGGGCACCGGGCCCAGGAGGGCACTGCGGGGAGCGGGACTCAGCGGGGATAGGGCGAAGCTGGCGCCGGGGACCGGGCAGGGCTAGAGCGCTGCTCCTTCGGGGCCCGCGGCCACAAGCCCCGGGGCAACGGCAAGGACCGGGCGAGCTCCTGCCCGGCCCCGGGGGCCGCCGGCTGCCAAGGGGGAGTGGGGGGTGGGTGGGTGTGCCGGGGGCAGGAGCCCCGGGCAGTTGGGGGCAGGGGGCTGTCCCCCTGCTGCTTGGTCTCCAGAGCCTGCGATGGAAGCCTGCGGTACCACTGCCTCCGGACATGGGGCCAGGGGACAGGAGGAGCAGTCGAAGTACAGAGTGATTCTGGATGAAGAGTAGTGTTACACAGGACCTCCAGGGTCCCCTATGCCCTGTGGTCTTGATCAGTCAAACGAGATGAGCTGGGCCTCTCCGCTGCCCGGGGGCTGCTGCCCGGGGGCTGGTGCCGGTGGAGGCTGCTGCTGGGGGGGTCCCCCGGCTGGGGCCACCTGGAACAGACACAGCGGTTTCATTAGCATGTGGCTTTATCAGCACACATGTCCCACTGGGTCCTGATCCCCCTGGGACCCTGACCCCCTGGGCTGGTGGCACTTACCTGTTGGTAGAGGGGCTGTTGCCCAGGCATGTAGGACTGCTGGGCTGGAAGGCTGCTCAGAGCTGCATCCTGGCCTGGGAGGGCAGACATGAGACCCTGTGGGAGCAAGGGGGTGGGTGTCAGAGGGGCCAGGGGACACGCAGCGACTGTGGGGCGGTGGTGACAGACCCCAGCCTCTGCCAGGCCTCCTCCAGGATGGCTCCATAGGCTGGAGCCCACCCACACCTCCTACCCCCCATGCCCAAGCAGGGAGCACTCACCTGCATGCCATAGGGCTGGTAGCCCATGGAGACGGACTGGCTGCCCATGTAGCCCATGGCACCCGACTGGGGGGCCTGGGAGATGGCCGGGATGCTCTGAGACTGCGAGGCCGCGCTCTGTGGGGAGAGGCTGGTGAGAGGCGGTGTAGGCAGCGATGGCTCGCAGCTCCAGCCAAGACACCACAGCCCAGAACTGGCTCTGACCCCAGCCCACTCCCACAGTGAGAGCAGCAGATCTGGAGGTCTGGGACCAACCAGCCTGTCCTCCCTCCTGCTCAGAGATCCCATTGATGAGATGGGGTACGTTGCTCCAGGCCCCCAGTCCTCACCCCAGCCAGCCACAGGCTGTGCTGCCTCACTTGCCTGGTAGCCCTGTGTGGGCGTGGGCTGGTAGGACGAGTATGCCGGGGTGGTGGTGGGCACTGCTGTCCCCTGCTGAGCCCCCTGCCCGCTGCCGGCCCCTGGCTGGTACATGTAGGCATTCACCATGCTGGGATCTGGACAGAGAGGGCAGAGGTTGGAGCAACCACCTTGGCTCACCCCTACCCCTGTGGGATGAGCTGCCTGACGTACCAGTCCCGGTGACGGGCATGGCGGTGTACGGCCCGGTGCCTCCCTGTGGAGCCTGGTTCATGTACACGCTGTGCATGGGAGAGCCCTCCACGGAGCCGGCTGGGCTGAAGGTGCCAGGGAAACTGGTGGGCCCAGAGGGCTGGTATATCACCCCACTGGCTGCAGGCATGGCCTGGAGCTGGTGGGAGAAGGAAAGCCAGCCTTAGGCTGCGGGCCCTGGGACCTGGCAGGAGGGTTCCTGGCCCAGCAGCTGTACCTGGGCATAGGGCAATGAGAAGGCTGGCATCTGGGCTCTCATCTGGATGGTTTGCTTCTGCTGCTCCAGGCGCAGCTGCCTCTCCTTTTCCTGCTCCTGCAGTCGCTGGATGGCCAACTGACGTTGCATCTCCAGGTACTCCTACGGGAACAGGACTGTGATGGCTCGGAGCCAGTACACTACAGACCCCCTCCCACTAGGACAGCTGCCCCTGCCAGCCCTGGGCTGATCCATGGCGCAGGCAGGCCTGGAATACCTGGACAAGCTTCTCTGTCTCACCTGCTTCTTCTGCCTCATGATCTCCAGCTTCTGGGCTAGCTGGATCTGGCGCTGCCGCTCTGCCTCCTCTGCTGCGCGGCGCAGCTTCTCCTGGTGCTCCTCCCGCAGTGCGTTCAGAGCCCCACGTGCATCCCGGATCTGGGCCAGTTTGTCCTGCAGGCCTTCATAGTACACTGGGGAGGGAAGGGACAGCCTCAGAACATGGGGACAGAGCACTGGACCACCCCTGCACTCCTCACTAGTCTCTGGAGAGGCTGTGTCACAGGAATGCCAAATGCTGGCACTGGGGAAGCCCTGGCAGCTGCCCGCCCACGCCCAGGGCCAGCAGCTCCCCCAGCTCCCACGCACGCCTGCGCTCGTCCAGCTGGTTGAGCAGCTCCAGCAGCTGTGGGTGCATGTTGTTAATGGACTGGAAAAGGGACAGCACAGCGGAGTCATTGGTGATGCTGCGGCCTCGCATGTGGTTGCTCTTCATGCGGTTGACAAACGTGGTGACCGCGTTCTGCAGCGCCTTCAGGAACTGCTCGTGGTTCTCCTCAGACTCGCCATTCTGGTACTGCTGCTGGAAGGAAGGACGGGGCAGCCAATCAGCCGTGAGCCCCCCAGTGCCAAGAGCTGGCAGCCAGCCTGCGGAGCCTGGTGCTTCTTGCCCCTTGGCAGGTGCTAGACCCAGGTCTGGGCCCTCTCTTACCTCAACCACCCCGAGTGGGGCGGGGTGGGCTTCCCCAGGCTGCGCAGTTGGCTCTGTCAGGGACAGGGGTGCTGATGGTGTGGGGCTCTTGCGAACCTCCTCTTGTTTCTTCTCCCAGTAGTTGCGGTTCAGGTACCGAGCCAGCTGTCAGGAAGAGAAGGAAGATGAGCATTGCTGCCTTTGTGGAAGCAAGCCTGTGCCACAGACTAACAGGGCTGGGATCCTTACCTCTGGGTCAATGTCCTCAGCCAAGGGAGCAGAGGAATTCTGGAAAGAGCAAAACAGGGAAATGCAGTTCAGAGAAACCAGAGACCCCCCTGGTCCCACAGAGATGTCTGGATCAGACCTGTCCATGTATGACCACCAGTGCTGAGTACCAGCAAGAGCCTCGAAGTGGACACACACTGCAGCTCTGGGAAGCAGCAGAGGCACCTAAATGCCATCTAGGAACAGACTCTCTTGCTCAAAACACAGCGAAGGAGCAAGGGATTGAATGGGGCAACTATTTTCCCTCAGAATGGGATTAAACTAGACACAAGCAGGACAGACTCGGGCTCGGGAAGTGGCCTGTGTCCAGCCTCTTCACGCCCAGGGCTCCCATGGACGTACCACGGGCGGGGAGTAGAGTGTGCTGACCGGGGGAGCTGATGACGTGACAGGTGTGGGCTCAGCCTTAGGGTACATGGAGTAGGTTGTTTTCTGCCTCTGCAAAAGAAAAAATTTCCAACTCAGGGACTGTCCAGACTCCTCCAAACCAACTGCAACACAGCCCATGCCTGGCTCTGCTTTCACCCTCTCATTCCACAGGACCTGCACCTCACTCACACCAGGATATGCCCAGAGATCTGTTATGGCCCAGTACACCTGGGCTGAAGAGTAATGATCCCTCCCAGATCCCTGCAGTGCACAAACCATTCTCTCCTTCTCCTCAGCCTCTGACTGAGACAAGGCAATAGCCAGCTGGAGCTCCTCTTCCTCTTGCAGAGCTGTCTCGTCGCGCTTTGGAGGCAGCTGGAAGTGAAAAGATGAGGAGGTAGTTGGTAATGGGATCAACCAAAAGGTCAGGATCACCAGATCACCCATGTGGCAGCCACTCACCTGCGACTGCTGAGAAAGGGGGCTGGTCAGGTACTCAGGGGGCAGTTCAGAGGTGGCAGCAGCTTTGCCCTCAGCCTTCCTGCAGTGAGAGGTGACAGTGTGGACTGAACACTCCCTCCTCTGCACCAGAGCCCCAGCTCTGCACAGTGTTTCAGTGGCAAACCTGCTCCTGGGAAGGAAGGAGGCCCAGCCCAGCCTGCACAGCCTGGGAAGCACCCTCGCCCTGCTCTGCAGGGAATTGGCTCCCGACCATGCTTCCCCTCTCCCAGTCCCAGCTCTCGCAAGCAAAGGAACCCACCACAAAGGGTACTGACTTGTTGAGATGCTCATAGCAGGGCTCACAGACTCTCACTTCCTTCTCAATCCCGAACTTGGGGATAGTGGAATACTTGGAGGAGCATTTCCCACAGAAGATCTGCCCACAGGCCCGGCAGTGATGCTGTGAAGGATGGGAGACATCAGTGCAGTGGCAAGACACTCCTTCTCCATGAGACAACACACTCAGATACTCCCAGCATTTCCCTGCCAACAGCCCGAGTACACGGTCTGTCCCCAACACATTTCCACACAGAGAGTCCTACAGGCAGCTCTGCCAGTCCAAGGGCTGTGTGGGGCCAAGAAACCCAAAGGGGCAGGAGCAGCACCCACCTTCCGCGTCACGACACCAAACTGCACTCGGCACCTGTGACACTCCTCAGCGTCCACCCAGTCTGGAGCCTGTCAGGGTCAAGGGGAATCGTGTAAGGAGGGAGTAGAGCCTCAAGGAGAGTGTCTGCACTTGGCCTTTCAGGAGCTCCAATGGCTAACAGGGCTCTCGTGCACAGGGGAGAGCGGAGGCACTTGCAGCTCAACAGGAAATATTAATCCCCACAAGCTACCCTCTTGTGTTCCTTAGAGACTGTGACACCTTCCCAGTTAGCACAAGACTCTCTAGGAACATGTCTGCATAGTGATGCCTTCAGCAATGCCCTGCCACGTTCAGCCTGCCAAGATGACGCAAGGCCACCAAGAAAGGGGAATGATGGGACTGACTCTGTTCCCATCAGTTCTCCCAGCAAGGTCTCCAGTCCCCATGAAAGGAGAAATGCAAGACCTGCAGGTTTGGCAGGAAGGGGATGGGAGGGCAGGTCTGTCCTGCAGTGCCAGCTCCCCCCACCACACAGCTCACCCTCTCGGCAGCGAACATGGCATCGCTCTCCTTGAACTCCGGGAAGACGTGACCTGCAGGAAAAGCAGAGTCCCCTTGTGAGAGGAATCCTCCGGCACAGGGAGGCCTTGGTGCCTGCAGCCTCATGCTGCAGGTGCCAGGACAAACACCAGACCCAGCTCAGCACCACCTCCTGCCCTGACTGGTATCTTGCTCTGATACACCAGCATCAGCCTCCCCTCAGCCTCACTCTCAAGACAATCCCTGATGGTTTTCCTTACACACTCATAAGAGACATAAGGAACCTCTGGATAAGGCTTCATGTCTCTCAAGACCTTGAACCGAGCATGGGGGGATAAAAAGCCCAGTGGGTGGGCACATAGGCCTGTGAGTCTCAGGCCTTGAATGGCCAGAGTGTGTCAACACCAGCTGGGGAGGGGGACTGGCCCTCCAGGCTCTGCCACTGCCCACAAAGGTTCTGGTGCACAGGAGGCAAAGGCAGCAGCATGTCCCTGCCCTTGAAGGGGACACTGCTGTCCTGGGATAGGAGGAAAAGAGTCGCACCAATACTCTGTCAGAAAGCGGAGCATAGACCCATCCTGGGAGCAGGAATGAAAGCCTGGGAGGAAGGAACTGCCTTGAAGCAAATCCCACCCCAGAGGACACACTGACTTTCTGTCAGTCTCCCCAAGAACATTTGCACCTCCTGCTGTTCAGGTCTTCTTGCCAGCCCTGAACTTCTGGTTGGGCTGGAGGCCCAGAGCAAGGCAGCCCCGATCCTGGGACCACAGGACTGTCCCATCTCTGCAGTGGGATTCAGTTACTGTGAGGGGTTTGTTGGGTATCAGGCACCAAAGAAAAACTCAGTGCTGCAAGTCCAGATTTTGCTCACATCAGGCAGGTCCTGCCGAGGCTCCTGCAGAGCAGAGCTGCTTGGCTAGGTGTCCCCCAACCTGTGCCCACAGTCCTCACCTTCAACCTTCATTATCTGATAGGTGTCCTGCACCACCTTGTACTTGGGCTCGTTGCGGAAGGCGTGAGCCCAGGCCTGGATGAGGTACAGGATCTTACTGCGGACACTTGTCTCCACTTGCCTCTGCACAGGAAGGGAGGAGAAAACAACATCTGAGAAAAAGCTCCTGAAACCCAAAGGATGGTGTGAAACCCCCAAAGAGAAGTCAGAAATGCCAGTCAGGAAAGAGAGACTTTAAAGTACTCATGAGAAACAAGAGCTGTCAGAAACACGCAGTGAGGACGATGCACAACACAAATGACAGCTGCCCCACTGCCCCCCTTCAGCACAAACAACAAAATGTCCTTCAGAACAGCACAGACCAACTGAACAGGTCTGTGGCCTTGATGCTTTGAGCAAACGCCCAGGGCCAGGAGCAGGGGCTCTGGGGCCTGCAGCAGCCCAGCCCACCAACAGCTCCCCTCAAGAGCTGCTCATCCCATACTCGGAAAACAGCGGGACCTTCCACTGCCCAGAATGGCACAGCCTGCCTTGCCCGGGCACTGATGGTGCTGGGGGTGCCTGGAGGGTGCCAGCACCTCCAGCCCAGGAATGCTCAAAGCCATCTTAGAATGTGACACAGTGAGGACAGCTGGGTCGCCTGCCCTTTGGAGGCAGGGGCAACTGTATCACAGTTTCAGGAGCTGTAGGAAACTTGGCAAGCCTATTCCGACCTCAGCCAGCCTTGGAGGTGCCCTGTCCTCAGCTGCCCAAGTCATTGCATCCACATGACCAGCTGCTCTAGAAATCCCCCAGGAAGCACAGGAGCACTGTCAAGCTCCAATTTCAGCCAAGTGCTCAGTCCACACAGTGTGACTTACTGATAATTCCTGGAGGTCCAACTTTTAGAAGATTTGGCAAAATCCTGCATTCCACATGTCACAGCCCTGAACTTCACCAGAACATGAATTGTTTTACCAGCACTGGGCATTCACAAGCATCAAAGTTCCAAGTGTGGGAGGAAAATGGGGCAGTTGTGAAACTCCCGAGGCAGACAAGGACTGAAAGCCACAAAATCCCTGGATCTGATCCGATCTCTTCAGCCCTTGGAGAGGCTGCGCTACCACACCTGGCTGTCCCACTGAGGTAGTGTTTCCTCCTCAGGGAGGAGATCCTGCACGGAGACTGAGTCAGCCCTAACAGGAAGGTGACAGGAGAGACACTCTGCTGAGTGTGTGAGGTGATAGGGTTCATGCAGCTCATCCTGCAAGGATCTGGGTCATCTAGCTGTTTATTTCTGGTGGAAGACAGGAGCTGTAAGGAAGGAACAGCACGACGCTAACAAGCTCTTGTCTGGGCATTGCTGTTCTGAGCTGGGAGCGGGAGACAGGAGTCCTCATTTCCACTTCCCTCATGGAATTCTCCAGTCCAAGGACAAGCAGAGCTCCTGCAAGTATCAGACTGGTGGTAGCCTGTGACAACATCTTGTCAGTGCCAGCAGCCAGGGTCACATCGTGCAGAACTCCTGAACAATTCCACAGGCCAGTGAAATGGCCATGACACAGAGGAAGCTCCTGTTGCTTTCTCCTTTACTGCTTTACCTGCCTGTCTCCCACTGTTCTATGGGAGGAAATTCACCTCACCACTGCCCAGGTCCTCAACGCAGGTGCCAGGCCGTCACCTGGTTTCCTTTGCTGTCCCAAGCCAAGTGGTGCATCCAGGAGCATTTAACATGGAATGGCCCATGCCTCTGCAGCACATTCTTGCCAGTTCACAGCACAGCCAAACCTCTCCTTCCACCACATCTCTTCTTTCCAGAGACTCTCCTTTGCTCCCTACACTCACCCCTTCACACCACATGATAGTTTGCTCTTTTCTGGAGTGCACTCCGAGTTTCCCTTCTGTTCCTTACCCAAAAGGAATGCAGGAGAGGACACATACATTTCCTCTTGCTGCTGGTGCTTTTCCAGAAAAAAATGATAGAAAAATAAATCGATTTACCTTGAGTATTTCCTTCAGCTCCTCCATGGTCTGTTTATTGGCCACCTCGTCATGAACTGTTTGGCCACAGTTTTTAACCACTGACTCCATGACCTGCAAGGGCCAAGAGTAACATCAGCCCACGGTTTCCTGCCTCCTCTGCAACCCATGGTGGTGCCAGCACACTGTACAGGCTGAACATGGGGCACTATTTTAGCAACGAGGCATGTTGGGCCCGTGTCAATCCATACACAGTGCTGGGAACCCGCTGCCCTTCAGCTCCACAGGGGCCTGGGGGGCCTCTGTTCTGTGGAGAATGACCCCAGGGACAGTGGCCCAAGTCCCAGCTTTGCCTGTTCCAAAGCCAAGACAGACCTAAAGCATGAAGACCCAGGTCTGATCATCCCAAAACCTCTGTGCCACAGCCAGGAGGAGGCTGGCTCCATGCCGTGCCACAGGCAGGGAAGCTGCGTAGCCTGAAGGCAGGATGGTGAGGGGACGTTCCCCAGACCCCCGTGGTGCTCCCGTCTGGTGCCGTTACCTCCAGTGCATACAGGGCCACATGGGGATTCTTGTCATTCACCTTCTTCTTGATGGCGTTGACGGCGTATTTCGCTCTGGGTAGGGAAGAGAGGACACATCCTCAGGGGATCAAGGATGTGAGGGGAGATCCCACCTGCTGCTGACAACCTGCCAACCCCCCCTTTGGCATGAGGGCATAGTTAGCTCAGGGGTACACAATTCCTTGGGGGAAACTAGGAGGGAATAAGCACATTCAAGCTTGAGTTTCCCTGAGGATTTCAGGCCAGGGGTAACCTACAGCCCCCGAGGCCTGGGAAGCATGTCAGCACACTGAGGTGTGCTGTACTGCCCTTCCAAAGCTCCTCAATGACATCTCAATGAGACGTGTGCTCCCACGGGCTGGCAGGTCCCAGACCCCCGAAGGGTCAGACAGGAGAGCTGTGCCCTGCGCCCACAGCGTGTCCGAAAGCCCAGGAGCACTCACTGGGTGTCTCCCTGCCGGATCATGTCGCAGATCTGCAGGATGGATTCCCAGTCCGTCTCCAGCAGAAGCTGGCTCGTGGCCTTATCTGCAAGGAATAGATCCACGGGGGTGCCGTGAGCGGCCGCTCCCCGCGGCTCCGCTCCGCCACCGACGTGTCGCGGGAGCGCCCCGGGCGCGGCGCTGCCCCGAGGCTCGGGGATAAACCTCCGATGTCTCCCGGAAGGCTCCAGCCCTCCATCCCCTTTAAGACATCCCCGGACGCTCGGCAACCTCGGCCCCACCGCTCCCGCTCCTCCCGGCCAGCATTGGGCTGCGGCACCGAGCGCGGCCCGGGCAGCGCCGCGTCCCGGGCCCGCCTTCTCCCTGCTGCGGACCCCAGTCCGGCCCCCGCCCCGCCCGCCCAGGGGGCCCCGCCGGTACCGAGGAGCCGCTCGAAGGTGCCGCCGCCGCGCCCCATGGTGTCCTCCCGCCGCCGGCCCAGCCCCACCGCTCCGGCCCGTCCGTCCCCCGCCCCTCCGCGGCCCTTCCGCTTCCGCCTTCCGCCTTCCGCCGGGGCGGCGCCGGTTCCGCCGGGGCGGGGCCGCCATGGCCGCGGCTCGGCCCCCGCCCACGGTGCTGCTGCTGGGGGCGGCGGGCGGCGGCAAGAGCCTCTTGGTGCGGCGGCTGCGCCATATCCGCGGGGCACGGGGGCACAGGGGGGGACCGGGGGGCGGGTTGTCCGGGCAGCCCCTTCCCCTCCTCGAGGCGAGTCCTTAACGCGCGGCACAGCTGAGCGTCGGGGAGCCCGTGGAGCTGGGCGAGCCCCCGGCCACGCTGCCCACGGTAGGCGAGGCCCGGTGAGGCCGAGGGGCGGCGGGGGGCGGCGGGCACGGCCGCACCCAGCCCGGCGCCTGTCCCGCAGGTGGGCACCAACCTGACCGACCTGCGGCTGCCGAGGAAGGTGACGGTGCGGGAGCTGGGCGGCTGCATGGGCCCCATCTGGCCCAGCTACTACAGCGAGTGCAGCACTCTCCTGGTGAGCAGCACCGGCATCCCGTGAGATCTCCCTTCTCCGTGCCCTGCTTAGCCCGGCCCTGCCGGCCCGGGGCTGCCCTCGGCACACCCGCACTCCGCTTTCCCTTCTCCCCTTGCAGTTCGTGGTCGATGCCTCCAACCCCACCCAGGTCTCCTCATCCTGCATCCAGCTGCTCTCCGTCCTTTCGGCAGCGCCGCTCGCCTCCGTGCCCGTCCTGGTGCTCTTCAACAAGATGTGAGGAGGGGGATCAGCCCGGAAGGCTGCCCGGGGGCAGCAGCTGCACTTTGCTGCATTTCTTGGGCCGGAGACCCCCAAGCTGGTGCTGGACTGGGGAGGGGAGCTGTTGTGGTGGGCTAATGCAGCCCCCCTGTCCCCACTGCAGTGACCTGCCCTGCTACATGTCGCTGGTGGAGATGAAGTCGCTGTTCCGCATGCAGGACATCGTGTCCTGTGCCACGCAGCCCATCACGATGCTGGAGATCAGCGCTCGCGATGGGACCGGCCTGGCCGACGTCCTGCAGTGGCTTCGGGCCACCCTTGGAGACCCCCATTGACCCCAACCCTGCCAGGTGCCTGCAACAGCCCAGGACAATCCTGTCACCAAAGGAGGTGGCCAGGGAGCAGCTGCCTTGCATGGGGCTGGGAGCAGGGCCTGGGACAGTGTCACAGGCTGGTGACAGACTGTATCCCTGTGGGACTTCACAGTAAAATTCCTACCAAACAGTCCAGGCTGGTGGCTGCCCTGTGCTTGGGAGGAGACCCCAGGCTTTTGGGGAAGGGATGAGCAGAAGGCTCAGAGGCCAGAGTGTGCTGGCACCTCTGGGCACAGGAGGAGTTGCTGCAGTTGGGCTGGGGGCTGTGGCAGCAGCTGAGCTGGGCTAAGCAGGGCAGGGCTGGTAAGGCTGCCCAGGATGGAGACGGAGTGCATATGTGTCTCCTGCTGGCAGCTTTGGCCCTACAGGCATCATGCCAGTCCAGCCACAGTAGGGTGACCTGGGGAAAGGTGTGGAATAACTGGGGAACCTGGGTGGGTGTCAGGAGCTGGGGTAGGCCCAGTGACAGGGATGCCTCAGTCACATATGTGTCACAAATTGTAGCAAGTTTGAGCCTGTGGCTGCTCCCCAGCACTCACTTGGGCTCAGAGAATCTCAGAATGGGTCAAGTTGGAAGGGACCACAGAGGGTTGTCTGGTTCAACCTCCATGCTCATCCCACAGTACATGGCACAGGATTGCATCCAGATCGTTCTGGAGTATCTCCAGTGAGGGAGACTCCACAATCTCTCTAGGTAGCCTGTTCTGGTGTGGGGTCACTGCAGAGGAAAGAAGTTCTTTCTCATAGAATATCGTAGAATATGCTGAGTTGGAAGGGGCCCACCAGGATTATATTCAGGTGGAATTTCCTGCGCATCCATTTCTGCCTGTTGCCTCTTGTCCTATTGCTTGGCATCCTTGAGCAGAGTCTGGTCCATCCTCTGACACCTCCCTGCACATACTGACAGACACTGACGAGGTCCCCTCTCAGACATCTCTTCTTGAGGCTGAACAGGCCCAAATCCCTCAACCTATCCTCATAAGAGATGCTCAAGTCCCTTGATCATTTCTGTAGCCTCTGACCTGCTCCAGGAGCTCCATGTCCTTCCTGTCCTAAGGAGCCCACAACTGGACACAGCACTCCAGATGTGGCCTCACTAGGGCTCAGCAGAGGGGCAGGATCACCTCTCTGACCCACTGGAAATACTCTTCTTAATGCATCCCAAGAAGGGCTGGGGCTGTGTGCAGGACCCACCCCATGCCCACACCGATAACCAGCGTCTGTCCATGACAATAACCCCCCTGTGCCAGCAATGACAGCCCAGCCTGGCCCAGCTGCCTCACCCAGCGGCGCCAGTGCCAAGTCACGGGGTACTGGTGACTGCCTGTGCCTGGCACACACCACGGCACAACCTGCCCAGGGCCTGCCAGTGCCATGGCACCAGGGCAGCTGCTGTCCCAGGGCCTGGGGCTGCCAGCAGCGTGCCATGGAGGGGAGCAGCTCTGGGCGCTGGGGGCTGCAGACACTGCCCACGGTGGCTTATGGCTCATGGGGCAGCAGTGGCCCTCGCTCCAGCGGTGTGGGCTGAGCTGTGCTCTGCCCTAGGCAGCTGGATGGGCAAGCAGGCAGTGCCGAGGAGCTCGAGCACACCCTGATGCAACGGCTGAGTCACCACCACAACCAGCGCTGAGGCACTAACCCCACCTGCCTGTTTCCAGCCCAACAGGTCCAGACACCAGCCAGAGCCCTTCTGCACAGCAGCACTTTAATGGGCCAGGTCAGCCTGAGCCCGCAGGGTCCCTGCCCAGCCCAGCACTCAGCACCACGGTGTTTCTTCTGAGTCCATCTTGCCAGCTGGTGCAGTGTGTGTAGGGCTGCTGGGGTGGCCTGGAGGCCTTGCTCATGGGACTGGGATCAAACAGCTGCTCTCCTAGTGAGCCAGGCACAGGGCTGGAGCTGGGTCAGTGCCTGGCAGCTCCCAGCTCCATCCTTGCTGCCCCTGGGCAATGTGAAATAGACTGCAGGTTTCTCCATCCAGAAAGCCATCTCCAAAGGATTCTGAGAACAGCCCAGGGCCATTCTCCATGGGGCTGGTGTGCTGGCAGGGAGGAGAGCTGGAGAGCTGTTCTCTGCAAGCAGTGACCACCCCCAGAGCAGGGCTGTGCTGGTGAGGCAGCCCCACATGGAGCTGTGCCCTGGGGTGTGACAGCAGTCCTGGTCCTGCACCTGCTGCATCCCAGCAGCTCCAGGCAGCAGGAGCACCTGCATCCCTGTGCCACGGCATTCCTATTGATGTGTCTCAATGGGTCCTTGGCCACAGCAAGGAGAGAGAATCTTTCCCAGCATCCTGTGTTCCCGCAGCTTCCAGCGCAGTATTGTGATGGACAGATCCAGCCCTTTGTGCCAGCCTTACCTGGGCCTCAGGCACGTCTCTCTCGCTGCTCATAAACAGAGTGAAGCTTCTGTATGAGAAATACCTTATCTTCCCCTTCCTGCAACAACAGAGCCGTGGAGCAGCTGAGTGGCAGCGCTGCCAGGGCCAGAGCCTGAACGGGCAGTCCTAGGGCTGGACCAGGCCACGGAGCAGCCGGGATGGGCAGGGACAACATGCAGCGCTCACGCACCTTGGCGATCTGCTCCCTGAGCAGGCAGATGACCCTCTGCTGGCCTCTCACCACTTGGATGTAGAAGTAGATCACAGCTCTGCAACAACAGGACAGGACGGTGGCAGCTGGGCTGAGGAACTCCGGGCTCCTGGCACCGGGATGGGGCACAGGGCTTTGGATTGACACCCTGGCTCCAGCCCTGCTTAGGGCCATGACAGTGGGACCCTCAAAGCAAGGGCCCAGGGTTCAGCCTTGGGCTTGCGTCCATACTCACAGCAAGGCCACAGACGTGAAGAACAGGAGGAAGGTGTTCTCCACCAGGTGCTGGTGGACCCAGGTGAACCACGTGATGCTGGGGTTGGACTTCTGCAGCACTAGCACCCAGCTCTTCCCTGATTTGTAGACGGTTTCCAGCCCCCGGAAGGGTCCGCACGTTTCTGATGGCTGTACCCTGAGCAGACAGACCGATGGGGTGGTCAGAGCAATGGGCAGCCCAGCAGTTGCTGCCCCTAGCCCAGGGCACTGCCTGTCTCAGACATCCAGCCCTCCTGGGACCCAGCCTCCCTGTCCCCAGCATCTTCAGGGATCTTCATCCTTGTGTCCAGCACCAGGAACACCCAGGAATAGCTGGAGGAAGTGGGCACGAGCCAGTGGCTGGGTAGCACCTGCCTGTCTGGGGCAGCACTGCACAGCCTGGGCCTGGGGGATGTTGGGGTCGGGGGTCATGGTATCTCCAGGCCCCTCCATCTCCGGGCAGCCAAGGGTCCTGTGCCCCAAGCCATGGCCTGGTGGGTACTCACGACCAGATGGTGTAGGAGAGGAAGACGGTTGCACCCAGGAAGAAGGGGAAGCACAGCAGGGTGATGAAAATGGTGCTCATGTGCGATGCTTGCCAGGGCTTGCTGGGGGACTGGCAGTTCCGCATCAGGCTGGTCTGTGAACAGGGAGCAGCATCCTGTGGGCTGCCAGCTCCTGAAGAGTGGGCCACACCCTGCTGTCCTCTCCCTCCTACCTGCTGGGAGCCGAGCGAGCCTGGGGACACCCTCTCCCCAGCAACCTCTGCTCAGCCCCACCAGGACAGGGCTGCTCCGTGCAGCACTGCTGCTGCAGCACAGGCTGGCAGTGGCAGAGCAGAGTGTCACCGCTCTGTCACCAGTGGGGAACTGCAGGGGGCAGGGAGAATCACACCTTTTTGATATAGAACAGCAGCAGCAGCTTCAGCATCTGCACAGCCGGCAGGAGCGGAACGAAGAGAATGCCCAGCCTGCGAGTTGGGGGGAAGACAGGCTCGCCTGGATCGAAGCCCCAAGGGAGCCAGTGGTGGGCACAGCTGTGGCACCCACAGGGCTCTTGGGGAACACAAGGTATTTGCCAGCAGGGAAGGAGCCGCACCAGGCAGAGACGTCTCACCAGGTCAGGGTCTGCCCATAGATCAGCTCCAGCACATTTCGGGCAATGTCAAACTCGGGCCTCTGCCTCAGCCTCTTCTCCAGGATCAGCCTGGAGAGGAGCAGAGCTCTGCTGCCACACTGCCCGGGGGACCCTCACACCCACCTTCCCACTCCAGTGTGGCAGAGCCTAGGCACACCAGAGAGCTGGGGCCGTGCAGGGACACCACATGGAGGGGGACACACATCCTGGGGCATGTTACCTCCACACCAGCTCCCCAAAGAGCGTGTCCAGCAAGGTGAATATGAAATCCATCACCACAAAGCGATAAAGGTCCTGCCCCACACATGTCTCCCAGCACTAGGGATACGAGCAAGGGTGGCATACAATCACAGAGTGTTTTGGGTTAAAGGAACCCTAAAGCTCATCTCATTCCACCCTCCTGCCGTAGGCAGGGACACCTTCCCTAGACCAAGTTGCTCCGAGACCTGTCCAACCTGGATTTGAACACTTCCAGGGATGGGGCAGCCATAGCTGCTCTAGCCAAAACCGTGCCCAGTGCCTCACCACCCTCACAAAGAATTTCTTCCCAGTATCTAGTAAGGAAGAAACCACCAGTTCCTTCCATGGCCCCGCGCTGAGCCTGGTCCCTCACAGCCCGGGGGCAGCAGTGCTGACCTCCTCTGTTGAGCAGACAACGCTCCGGCTGAGCCACTGGAAACACAGCAGGCTGAGGACCACCATCTTCAGAATCAGGTTCCTGGAGAACAGAAGCAGGGCCAGGAGCCCCTGAGCCCAAGGGATGGAGGGGCCATGCCCCATAGACAGGGTGCCTGGCCCCAAAGCGTCCCCCCATGCCACAGGTGGGGGTGCAGGACTCTCCCTCCACCATAGCCCTAGCCGGCCCACCTGAAGATCGCCACGTAGACCTGTGTCACAGGGGAGTCCTGCTTCTCCCACACTGCCAGCAAGTTGTACAGGTGGGGCATCAGCGCATTGAGGAGGGACACCACAAAGGGCAGGACCAGCAGGATGGCTTCCTGCTGCCACCTGCCACTGCCCTGCACTTGCTGCTCCTGCTGAACCTGGTGAGCAGGTACTGGGGTGAGCACACGGATTTGGGCAGCCAGGCATTCTTAGGGAGGGCAGCAAACACCCAGGCCAGAAGAGCTGCAACAGGGCTGCCCCCACCTCCCTCCTTGGTACCCCTGCCATGTCGCTCCAACCCCAGGGCAGGGCATCCCAGGGCGAGGGCTGGCACTCACCACATGCATGTACTTAGAGAAGTGGTGCACAGCCAGCGTGCAGCCCAGCACTGAGCCCAGTGTCAGGGTCCAGGCCAGAAGCACCACGATGCAGTGCCTCAGGCGCTGGTAGAGGCTCTGGGAGTGGGAGCGGGAGCGCTGCTCTGCCAGCAGCTCCTGGAAGAGAGCAGAGTGCCAGAGCTGCCAAACCTGCTCCACATCTGGAGTGAGGGTCTGTCCCGCTGCACCGTGGCAGGACCCAGAGGGATGATGGACAAAGCACTGATGCAAGGATGGGATTGGGGGTGTTTGTATCACCCAGCTCCTCACCTTCAGCTGGGTGCAGAAGTTCTCACACCGCAGTTTCACTGAACGCCTTTGGATCACCTTGAAGTCCCAGGCACAGAAGACTTTAATGGCCAGGTCCCCCATGGAGCTTCCCACGCTCTCCCGAAAAGAGCAGAACACGCTGCATGAGGGAGAGGGCATCAGGGAACAGGGCTGAGTGAAGGGGGAAGGCTGGCAGTGTCACACGTGCTGCTGACCCACCAGTACATCAGCAGGATGCAGGTGACGAGGAAGGTGACTCCAACGCTGAACAGGTAGGCCAGTGGCATGTTGTACGGGAATGAGGGGGCTGTGGGGGGGCACGTGCTGCCCTTGGGGCCAGGGGTGCAGGGCTCATTGAGGGTGATGTTGCTGTAGTAGCCATAGTACAGCAGTGAGTGCGTGAAGTAACCCTGGCGGAAAACACATGATGTGGCCCATGGTGACCTCGGTGTGCCTGCAGTTCCCTGCCCAGCCTGGCGCCTCTGCCAGCACCGGGGACACAGAGTCCTAGGCTGGGGCAGTACCAGGCACCCCCTTTGCATCCACAGCACTGGCAGCCCTGGGGCCCAGGCTGAGCAAGGGCAGGGACTGGGGCATCACTGTGGGGGAATATGGGACTGCACCCCAGGCCTGGAGCAGCCCCTGTCCTGGGGATGCCCAGGCCCTGGTGCGTGGGCTGTGCTTACCGCTCCTGTGAGGAGCTCGAGGCCGGTGAAGGGCGGGGGGCTAGCCGAGGTAGGGGGGTATACAGCCTGCAGGGCCACCACAAAGACCAGGAGGATGAGAAATGAGAAGAAGTTGAACATGAGGAGCGTCTTGAGGAAAAGGAAGTAGGAGAGGACACTGGAACCAAAGCGGCCACTGATTTGCTTCAAGGTGTAGTGCCAAGGCTGTGCAGTGCGGAGCAGGGAGAGGAGCCTGTACCAGAGACCTCGGCAGCCCTGGGGAGAGAGAACCTGTGGAGAGCACCGGAGCCAGAGCCTGCACTGGAGCCCCTGCATAGCTGTGCAGACCCCACCCTGACTTACGAGGCTGATGTAGACGATGGACCACCCACAGGGCGAGGAGGGGGCCCAGTGCTGGGCACGCTGCCTCAGGATGCCCCTCTGCCTGTTGACCTGCCGCCTGCCCAACAGAGACGAATGTCAGAGGGTACCACAGGTCCCGGGATGGCTCTGGCTGTGGGAGCCCTGCCTGGTTGGGCCTGGCACAAGGGGACCTACCGGAGGGTGCGTTTCTCTGCCAGGCTGATGGGCAAAGTGAGCAGCATCTGGCTGCGCTGGTAGGGCGAGAGGCTCAGCAGCTCCTTCACCAGCAGGCTCCGCTTGTCTGGGGCACAGGGGGCTCAGTGGGACACAGCTAGCAAGGTCACGGCATGCCCTTTCCAAACCCAGTGTAGGGACAATGCCTGGCACTGCCTGTTCCCGCTCCAGGGGACCCTCACCTTCCAGTGTGGTGCTGGCGGGGTCGGTGTCCAGGTCGTACTGCCGCAGGCTGGGCCGCGCCGCACGGGACAGCTGCTGCAGGGGTGGGCGGCTGCTCCGGCGCCGCAGCCGGGCCGTACGGTTGCAGTACTGGGAGATGACGGCCCCGAGGCTGCGTCCTGCAGGCCAGAGAAGGGCAGGGTTCGGGTGGCCATGGGAGAGCAGGGTAGGCGGGAGAGCTCTCTGAGAGGCTCTGGGGCCTGGAGAAGGGTGGGAGGGCAGGTGGCACCTACCAATGGTGCGGCTGGGCATGCTGGCCAGGATCTGCAGGGAGGTGGAGGAGTAGCCAGGGCACTGCCCTGGCTCTGCCCAGGCTGCAGCACAGGCGTCTGGGGGAGCCGGGGACTCTAGGAGGGGGAAGGCAGGATGCAGAATACCCAAGGCTCATCCCTGTGTCCCCACTGCTCTGCTCCAGCACAGAGGCCAGGTGTGTGTCCTGGTGTGTGCTTCCCCCAGAGAACCCCCTTCTCCAGGGGCACTCTGGGTTAGAGTCAGGGTTAGTGGATGGCCCTGGGCACACACATTATCCTCAGCCTGCCTCGGCTGCAGTCCTTTACCTCTGTTCCTCTTCTCCATCTCGAGCTCCAGATCTGCCTCGATCAAGCTGCTCTGCTCCAGGATAAGCTGGTGGAAGGAGGTGTGCAGGGCTCTCTCGTTGTCCGGGCTTGGCTCCTGGCTGCAGGGACACAGGGACACCATGCCACTGGGGTGCAAGAGCCAGGGCACGGTGAGGCAGCGGGAGGGTCACACTCACCCATCGCTCTCGGTGCCCTCGAGGACGTGGAGGGTGATGGAGGGCGGCTGGGACATCCTGCGGGCCCGAGCGGGTCCCTCCGACACTCGCCCTGCCGCGGCGAGCGGACGGGCATCAGTGGCCCCGGCCCCCGGTTCCCCCGCGCACTGCCGGCCCGCAGAACGAGGATGGAGCCGGAGCCACTGCGTGTGGGGTCCGGGGCAGGCGGGAGCGCGGGGCCTGCGGGGCTAAATCAGGGACTAACCCCGGGCCCAACCCGGCAGCAGAAGGAAGGAAGAACGGGCGGATAGGGCGGCGCCGCCGTCGAGCGGGTCCCGCGGGGGAGGAGCTCGCCCCCCCCGCCGTCCCGGGAGCCTCAGGGGCAGGGACGGAGCCTCCAAGCACCAACCCCAGCGCATGGCTCGGGAGGGGTTCGAACTGTCCCCAGGAGGACACATCGGAGCACAGATCCCCCCCCTCACGCCGTGTCCCCCCGTCCGCTCCCGCCGGTGCCCAGCGCCGTCTCCTTCCTCTCCTCCTCCACCAAGCCTCGGGCTCCGCACCCCGCCTCGCCCCCGGAGCGGGCTAAGGCAGACGGGAGCTCCGGAGCTCCTGGGCAGCTCCCGCCCGTCCCGATACCGGGAACCGACGGGACGTCCCGCCGGGGCTCCCGCCGCCTCCGCCGGGGCCGTGGGTCGGCGTGGGTGCGGATCCGCGGGGAGGGCGGGGAGCACCGAGCCCTCCCCGTCCCGTCGTTCCTGCCGTCTCCCGGTACAGGGCGGGGGCGGCGGAAGCCCCCCAAAGCCCCTGTTTCCCCTGGGCCGCACTCACCGGGAGCCGCCGCCGGCCGGGCCGTGGGGGCAGTGCTCCCCGTCCCCGTTACACCGGGGCGGAGGCGGGGACGGAGCGGGGCACCGGGGTGCAGGGCGGGACGAGCGCAACCCTCTGTGCCCGGGCGGGGGAGCCCCGGTCCCGCCGGCCCGAGCCCGCCCCGCCCCAGCGCCGCGGGACCGCCCGGCCCGGCCCTCCCGGGGCGGTGCCGCGCAGGAGCGGCAGCGGAACGCGATGGAGGGTGGCGGCGGCGCCTACGGGGCGGCGAAGGCTGGCGGCGCCTTCGACCTGGTCCGTTTCGTACAGCAGCCGCAGGTGCTGGCGCGGATCGTCAGTGCGGTGAGTCGGGACGGGACGGGACGGGACAGGAGAGCCCCATCGGCACGGGCCCTTCCTCTGGAGCCCGTCCGAGCCCGCCTCCCCTCCGCCCTGGCTGGTGCCCCCGGCCCGTCGGGCACGGGCAGCCGTCTCGGTGCCGCCCATCGGACACCGGCTCCGCCCCACAGATCTTCGCCCTGATCGTGTTCGCCTGCCTGGTCGGCGATGGCTACATGAGCCTGCCCGAGGAGTCCCATCTCTTCTGCGTCTTCAACCACAACGAGGACGCCTGTCGCTACGGCATCGGCATCGGCGTCCTCGCCTTCCTCGCCTGCATCTTCTTCTTTATGGTGGACGTCTACTTCCCCCAGATCAGCAACACCACCGACCGCAAGTACTTGGTCCTGGCCGACCTCGGCTTCTCAGGTACCGTGGGCGCGGGGCAGGGCTGTGCCTCCCGCCGCTGCACAATGGCCGCCTTGTCCCGTGACGTGGCTGCCGGTGCCTGGCAAAGGGAGTCGCTCCCGCCTGGCACGCTGCCCGTGGGCCACGAGCTGCTGCTGCGGGACACCCTGAGGAGTGACTGCCCCCGGCCGGGTGTCTGTGCCAGCCCGCACGGCTGAGCAGGGTCTTCATGCTACTTGCCCCCACAGGTCTCTGGACCTTCCTGTGGTTCATCGGGTTCTGTTTCTTGACCAACCAGTGGTCCTGGACACGGGCCGAGGACGTGTACATCGTGGCAGACTCTGCCCGCGCTGCCATCACCTTCAGTTTCTTCTCCATCTTCTCCTGGGTGAGTGAACCATCCTGCCCTGGTTGAGGAGAGCGTGGAGGGGCCCCTTGTACCGCAGAGCCCAGGGCAGCCCTGACGCTGCTGCCCCCTCCTCTCTGCAGGGCCTCCTGCTGACCTTCGCTTACAAGAGGTACAAAATGGGGGTGGAGGACTTTGCTCAAAGCTATGTCGACCCCACCCCAGAGGTTTCGACTCCCTACTCCAGCTACCCCAACATCAGCCATGAGAGCTACCAGCAGCCGCCCTTCACTCAAACGGCAGAGGCCCCGGAGGGGTACCAGCCCCCGCCGGTGTACTGAGTCCCGGCTGGTGCCCACGGGATGGCTGTACCATTGCAATTCCTTCTGTGGGGTGGGAGGGAGGGGCCTGTGACTTGGAGGGGTGGGAGGGTGACGGCTGCTTTGTGTGAAGGTGACTGGGCCTTGGCGTGGGGCGCAGGAGGGGCCTGGTCCCAGTGCTGGAGCCAAGCTCTCTGATGAGGGGTCGAGAGCCCCATGTGTGGTGGGTAATTTGGTGCATGGTAGTGATTCGAAGCTGCTGGGTGAGCCCTGTGGCTGCGGCAGGGTGGGTGTGTGGGCAGCCCTGGCACAGCTGAGCCTCTGCCCTCGCTGTGGTGCCCTGGTGGAGTGTGTGGTTCACCCTCCCCTGGCCCTGCCCCAGCTCTGCCCCTGTGACTGCTGCCCTGGCCTGTCCTGGCCCCAGTGCCTTTCAGCCCTGCTGGCTGCATCCCCCCGAGTGCTGTCTCTTGCTGCCATAGCACGGCCAGGCCTGGCTCCCGCCTGTGCCGGCTTTCCGTGCCTTCCCTGCTCGGCTGCTGCTGGGTGAGCTGTTGCCAAAGCCCCCCTTGTCTTCCTCTGATGCCACACTGTGCCTTCCTCCAGCCTGCACTAGAGCTGCCAGTGCTCACGCAGTTTTGGGATCTGTGGGAGCAGCGAGCATCGGGATCCCTCAGCAGGACCAGAGCTGCTCCAGCTGAGGAGGGTCCGCGAGTGCTTTCTGTCTCTTGCTTGCCTCCCCCCTGAGCGCTGCCTCTGCTAACGTGAGGCTGTGCTGCCATGCCCTGCCCACGGCTCCCACCTGCACTGCGGCTGCCCTGGGTGCCTCAGGGCTGCTGTCTCAGGTTGTGTTCGCTGCTGTGCTATGGTGAAGCTGTTCCCAGTGGCCCTGTGCAGGCTGTTGCTGCTGGGGCTGATGTTCCAAGTAGTTGTCACTGTAAGGTTTGAATAAACTTTTTCACCGAGCCACCATGTGCCTTTTGTCTCTGGGGAAGAAGGGGTTACTGCCCTCTCCCCCTGAGGGCTGGGGGTGCCAGGCAAGGCAGTGGCGGCACAGCCCCTGCCAACTGCTGCGCTGCAAACAGCACACTCACGCTGGTGGCTATTTTTAGGCCACCCTCCTGCTTCTCGATCTGAGCAGAGCTCCAGTGCCAGCCCTCCCACCCTGTGACCACTCCAGTGACCAGCGCAGGCTGTCTCACTGGTCACAACCAGGAAGCTTCCGCAGAGCACTCTGGTAGAAAACACACACAGAGGTTCATTAAGTTATTTATTAACCTAAAACAGCAGCAGCAGTGCCTTCCCCAGCCCTGAGAGAAAAACCCAGGCCTGGCACTCGAGTACTTGTGAGTACAGTTGTGCCCACTAGTAACATGGGGACAACAGAGGGAGTTCATGTGGCTCTTGGAGCCTTCCAGGGCACAGGCAGTGACCCTGCACTCACACACGGAGATCTGGCCTGGCCAGAACCAAGAGCTACTGCTTGGAGCCTGTGGCTCTCTTGCAGGGCAAAGCACTTTTGCAAGGAGCAAGGAACAAAGCCAACAACCTTCCAGAAGCCGAATCAAGCAAAGCAGGAAGAGGATGCTTCAGTCAGCTTAGAGCAGAGGAACAGTCAGCCTTGAGAATTTTGGAAGGCTCAGGAGGGAGCAAGAGACACAACTAAAGTAAAGAACCAGCCCTTCATATCAGAGCCCCTTTGCCAGGTAGCTGGACCTTCACAGGAACAGTTGCCCAAATCTGGCTAGATGAAACCCTGAGCCTCCAAATCCCTCACAGTTAATGCAGCACCAACCTTGAACCTGAGAAAAACTGCCCTGAACTGGGAGGAGGCTCTTCCTGGGACCAGTTCTTCTAAAGGACTCTGTCACAGCCTGCTAGACCACCGCCAGCCCTTACAGTTCAATGGCTCAGAAGAGCCTGCTGCCAGGCTGAGTTGGGCCTTCCTTTCCCCTCTACTGCTTCACCAAGAATTGACAAAGCAATAATAAAAGTGAGTGTCAGTAGTCAGAGAGGCCAAGGCCCTGCCCTGGGCTGGGCTGTCGCGTGTGTCAGTTTAAAAGTTGTGCCACAGCTCTGTGACAAGGAACAAGTTACCTCAGACTGTTAAAAAAGGAAGTGGGCTCAAAATATTAATGACTGTACATTGTCTTGAGAAACCTGGAATTTAGCAAGAGTGCGCAAGAGAGAAGGGCTGCGTTCACAGGCACCAGAGCCAGCCTGAGCACACACAGAGCACCGGGAGAGCTGGCCAGAGGCAGGGCAAGCAGCGGGAGCCCTGCAGCCTAGGTCGCCATGGAGTGAACCAGGGTCTGTGTGTGGTAACATCACTAACTACACCCATCTCTGTGTTCTGAGACTGGAACTCACTCTTGTCAGGCTCTCGCTTCAGCTCTCCCCAGCATCGGGCCCGGTGGATCCTCCTTGGCTGTGGTGCTCAGTGTGGGGAGGCAGTGGAGGTTGGGCAGGGAGGGCTGAGGCACTGAACAGTTCACTAAAAGCAGGGGGAGGCAGATCTCGTGCCCATGAGCCATGGTACTGAGCTCCCTTCTCCTCCATTTTCCCAGCAGTCAAGAGAAGATCTTGCGAATGGCAGCTGCCTCTTGCTGCCTCAACCCCAGGGGCACATTCTCCTTGTTCTCCAGCCCAGGCTGCTGGGGCCGCTTGCGGAAGTAGCAGGCTCGGCACACGGAGTGGTACTTGTCGGCCCCTCCAATCACTTCAACCTGGCAGGGAAATTGGGAGGGTGACTCTGCAGAGTCCAGCTTCCCCAAGGGGATCCCTCTGGACCAGCAGGACTGGAAAGGTGAAGCAGTTTCTGTTGCAAGGGAACTCACCTCCCGCTCTGCTCCCAGCCTCTTGGTGTAGGAGGCCTCCCGGAAGCACTCCATGCACACGGCGTTCAGCTTCACCACGCTCTCCGCCAGCGGCACCAGGTTCAGGATGCTCCCGAAGGCCTGTGCGAGACAGCAGAGGAGGTGCTGCTGGGCGGGTTCTGTGAGGTACAGAGCAGCTGCTGTTCCAAGATGAGTGTTTTACCTTCCTCTGGAAAGTCCCATCCAGAGCAGCAACGATGACGGTTTTCCCGGTGTTGGCCATTGTCTCGCAGAACTCCACAATGTCTGGGAACTGTACAGGGTACAGGCACAGCGTCAGAAGGGAGGAGGGGCAGCACTTGGCTCTGGATCCTGCAGCAATCTCTGCATGCCCAGATAGCAGCACCACGAACAAGGGAAATCAGAGCCCTGTCTGTAGAATGCAGTCCTATGCCATCAGGGACTACAGGGAGGGAGGGTTTGACTACAAGCACAGTCCAGCTGGACCAAACTGCCCCAGGGCACTTCTTCCCATCTCTTCCTACAGATGATTCAGGCCTTGGTCTTCACAGGTTGTTCTGGGGAGCCTGCGTTCCCCAGAGCCACCCGAACCCACCCGAGCCGTGCACTTACGAACTGGCCCTCGTCGATGCCGATGACGGCGGCGCCCAGCGCCTCCTGGTACACGTTCTGGAGGAGCTCGGCGGGCACAGCCTCCATGGTGCTCCTGCGGGCAGGGAGAGGGTGAGCCGGGCGGGCCAGGGAGCCCCGTGGAGGGGGGGTGGTCCTCCTGCCCCAGGGACTCACTTGTCGTGTGTGGAGACCCCGGAGGAGCTGTAGCGCGTGTCCTTGGCGTACTTCACCAGGAGGCACCGGTACTGGGCAAGCTGGAAGCGCCGCACCCGCCGCATGAGCTCCGTGCTACGAGACACCGTGTCAGAGGGCACCGGTACCAACCCTCCCCTCACCCCCCGCCATGGGCCCTGCCCGGCGCCCCCTGCCCCGGGCCTACCTCTTCCCGGAGAACATCGGCCCGAAGATCACCTGGGGGCAGAACGGCGGGTCATCAGACAGCCCCGGCTCCGACCGGTGCCGGTGCGGCCCCCGGTCTCGCAGCCTTCCCAGCGCAGCGCCCTGGGGCGGTACCGTACCTGTCCGTGCCCCTAGCCCCGTGCCCCGGGATGGTACCTGTCCGTGCCCCCCAGGGCGGTGGCCGGGAGGTGCCGTACCTGTATCTGCCCGCGGGGCCGGCTGGGCGAGCCGGGGTGGACGCCGGGCACGGTCAGGCAGTTCATGGCGGACTGACTGCCCGAGCCCGCGCGCGCCGCTTCGCCGCGCCAGCGCCGGCCAATCGGAGGAGGCCCCGCGCCAACGCGCCGCCGTGCCAGCCAATCGCGGGAGGGCTCGCGCCGGCGCTCCGCGGCGCTGACCAATGGGAGCACGGGCGCCAAAATTCTTATTTTCCCCTGAGCATCGGCACCGCCTTCCCGGGCAGGCGGGAGGGGACGGACACGCCCCCGGGCCCTGGCCCCGCCCCCGAGCTCCGGCCTCGCCTCCAGGGTGGCCAATGGGAATGAGGCGGCCCCGCCCACGGGCTCTGGCCCCACCCACGGGCTGTGGCCCTGGCCCCGGGCGGGCACGGGGCGCGGGGTCAGGACGGGACCGGGAGCGGGAGCGGGACCGGGAGCGGGCACAACATGGGCGGGTGGCGGGATATGTCCGCTGAGGTAGGGCCCGGGGGCGGGTAGCGCGCGATTCTCTCCCGGACGACGGGGTCTCTCCCCGACCCCGCTGCAGCCCCGTTGCCTCCCCGCAGGCGCTGGAGGACCAGTACTCCCCCAGCCGCTGGTCCCCCCGCCTCGACCGGGACACCATCATCGACGCCCACCTCGCGGTGACAGCAGCAGGTGAGGAGCGAGGGCGCCGGGAGTGGGGACTGCCCTCAGTGTCAAGGCCCCGTGCCCCACCGCCTCCTGCCCTGCAGGAACCGAGCGGGCCCGGGCCAGCGCCCAGACTTCGTTGCACGTCCCCTACGGCAAAGGGGACGGGGAGAAGCTGGACATCTATTTCCCCACGGACCATGCTGGGAGTAAGTGACAGTGAGGTGAGGACGGTGAGGACAGGGGTGGGCAGGGGTCGGACCCTTTGCTCACCCCCCACTGCACTGTGCAGCCTTCCCGGTGCTGGTCTACATCCATGGCGGATACTGGCAGTGCCTGAGGTGAGGTGGGATCCCTTGGGAAGGGACCCCCGTACCCACCCTTACTGACCCCCTTCTCCTGACACTGGGACTCCCTGGGTACGTGGGGTCTGACCAGTCCCCAGCTGGCCCCTGCAGCCCCTGGCTTCCACAGCCTGTCAGTGTCTCTCTTCCCCCAGTAAGGACGAGTCGGGGTTTGCAGCCCCCTCGCTGGTGTCGCAGGGGGTGGCGGTGGTGGCGGTGGGGTACGACACAGCCCCCAAAGGTAAGTGTCGCCCTGCAGAGGCTGTGGCCGCATGCATGGCCCGGTGCCGTCTGACTTTGCCCTCTGCCCTGTGCCCAGGTCACATGGACACCATGGTTCTGCAGGTGCGCCGGTGCATTGCCTTCCTGGTGGAGCAGTACCCTGGGATCAGGTGGGCAACTCCCGGGGGGGCTGCTGTGTGAGCGTGGTTGGGCAAACGAGCCCTGTGCCAGGACAAAGACTCCAGCCCCTCAGCCCAAGTGCTGGGCAGCACCTGTGGCTGCGATCCTATCAGTGCACAAGGCAGCAGCTGATGGATTAGGAAACATCCAAGCTGCTGTGTTCAGGCATGCTGCACCCTCCCACGGAGCAGGATGTCCCTCAGTGTCCCCAGGTGTCCCTGCCACTCACTCCCTGAACTGACTCATGGCTCTCTCCTTCCAGAGGCATTTACCTGTGTGGGCACTCGGCAGGGGCCCACCTGGCAGCCATGGTGCTGTTGACGGACTGGACGGAATTCCGCGTGGTGCCAGATATCAAAGGTAGGGTTGGCGTATCCCAGTGCAGAGGCTGGAGGAGAACTGGCCTCTGCACCTGGGACACGGCTGCGGGGCTGTGGAGCTGGGGGGATGAGCTGCCCAGTGATGAGGTCCCCAGGGTTGTGGGAGCCACCCAAGCTGTGGCCCCTCACTTGCTGGTGCCTCTGCCTTCAGGAGCGGTGCTGGTGAGCGGCGTGTACGATCTGGAGCCCATCCTGCACACTTACGTGAACGATGCTCTGAACATGAGCTGGTGAGCCCACACGCTGCAGGGACAGGCACAGGGACAGGGCACGGGCAGGCGGACATCAGTGGCCCTGTGGCCGCTCTGCCCCTGTGCCAGCCCCTGGTCGATGAGCCCAGCCAAGGACATGGCTGTTCTTGGAGCGAGGGGCTGTGTCAGCTGCCGCTGTGGTGACTCCTGCAGGGAGGTGGCCCAGAGGAATAGTCCCATGCGACACGTTGCCCCAGCGGTGCCAGGGGCCTGTGAGGTGCTTGTGGTTGTGGCCCAGCACGACTCCCCGGAGTTTCGCAGGCAGTCGAAGGAGTACAGCCAGGTGAGCTCCAGCAGCACCCTGCCCAGCCCCATGAGAGCGCTGCTCCAGCTGGCCCTCGCCAGTCTGTCCAACGGCAATGAAGAGCTCGTGTGCTGGATCAGAGTGGTGTTTCTAGCTCAGGGAAGGATGTCAGTCCTTGCCAAGCCGTCATTCCTGCTGCCCTGTGCAGGCCAGGTGGGGGTTGGGGTCCCTCCTGCCAGCACCGCTCTCTCCACAGGCCCTGCGCGCAGCCGGCTGGTCCGTCTCCCTGCTGGATCTGGCTGGTAGGGATCACTTTGATGTCATTGAGAAGCTGTCAGAGAACAGCTACATTCTCACTCAGGTAGGCAGGAGGGCTGTGCTGAGACAGGTCAGGTGGGTGCAGGGCTGGCTGTCACCTCCCTGTGGGGAGGAGTGGGGCCAGCTCCTGCTTAAAGGGCTTGGTTCCTCATCCCAGGTCATTCTGAACATGATTTCAAGAGCATAATGGCATGTTGAGAGCAAACAGACAGGGACCGTGGCCCTGCGTAGCGGCACCAGGCAGCCAGTGTCCCCCTGCCCACGGCCTCCTTGCTCCAGCACAGGGTGGCCACTGCCTCAGACCCCACCGGCCCCTTCTGCTCTGCCCAGCCTAGGCTGGTGCCCCTTCCCTGGGGTGTTCCTGCCTGCCGGAGCATGAAGGGCTGGAGGCTGCAAGGCTCCGTCTGGACAACTGGTTGATGAAGATCATTCCCTCAGTGTCCTTTAAACTGCATGCTGTGGATACAAAATAAACCAGGAATTACTGCTGCCTGGGGTAGCTGCTTCCCAGGGAGCCTGTGAGTGTACACCCACTGTGATTACTGCTGAGGGAATCCCTTCTTCCAGCACCGAGTTCTGGGCTGGGGACTCGCTGACCCACAACATAACAGAGAAGCCTGGGGAGCCCACATGCTGCTGCAGGACTGGGATGACACATTCCCCTCTGGGAATGGGGATGACAGAGCCATCTAAGCCAGGCTGGGCTCATGCTCCTGGGACAGTGCTGGCCAGACACAAACCTCGGTGCTGCTGTGCAGTGACTCTGGTCCTGCGGATGAGATGCTTCCACGTCCTCAGAAGCATTTGTCCCTCCATGGGGACCTTGGCTGAAATGTCCCTGCTGCAGAGGCAAGAGAGCCAAACACACTTAAAACACCCTGAACAGCCACAGTACTGCCAGAAAACATTTATTTTATGCACTCACCACCCCAAGGACTGGGGTCTCCCCCAGGCTGGGCTCACCCTGGTTTGTCAGTGTGCCTGTTGGGGCAGATGATGTGTTGCAGTCAGCTGGGAACACATCTGGAACACACAGGGGCTGGTCCCAGTAGTCCCAGCATCTGCACTGTGGGCTGGCCTACCTGCTTCAGCTGGGGAGCTGGGAGGATGCTCAGGCTTCCCCTGTGCCCGGAGGAGTCGGACGCAGTCCCAGGACCAGCTTCTCCTGGCACTTCCTGGCAACAAACTCCAGCTTGCTCCTTGCGAGCTCAGTGTCGTGGACCGAGATGTCGCGGTGCCAGACGGCGCGCACGGCGTGTGCCGACCAGGGGAGCAGCAGAATGCTAACAGCCTCCCCGGTCTCAGCCACCTCCTCCTCGCTGATGGCACGCAGGTGATCGCAGAGTTCAGCAGGGGATGGCCAGGCCCCCCGGACATTTACCATTACGATGTTGGTCTCCACTGCTGCCAGGTTAACAGAGCAGAGAGGCGAGTCCAGCACGTGGATGCCTGTGGGAGGCCTGGGTGGTGGGTGTGAGCCCAGTGTCTGGCTACCTGGGAGAGGCTACCTGCCCCAGCCCTGCCCCATGTCCTGGCTGAAGGGGGGCCCTTTACCCCCCCGTGTGGTACCAGGGTCATTGTGGGCACCACAATGAGGATGAGGATCCCAGCAGCATCCTCACCTGGCTGGAGACCCAGCATGACCACTGGGGGATGGTGCCTGAGCCAGCATTACCCCAGCAGTACCTGGCGGTGCTGGGCATGCCATTACCCGGCACACCGAGGGGCCCTGAGGTACCTTCTGCGAAGCGCCGGGCATTGTCGTGGTCTCTGTGCAGCGTGGCCTCCGCGCGCTGCAGCCCGAGGAGCGCAGCGGCCGCCAGCACTCCCGCCTGCCGCATCCCCCCGCCCAGCAGCTTCCGCACGCGCCAGGCCTCAGCGATGAACTCCCTGCGCCCTGCCAGCACTGCGCCGGCCGGGGCACCCAGGCCCTGCGGAGCCACCGGCGGGGTCACCCCAGCTGCCCCTCCTGGGGATGCGCCCAGCCTGCCAGGTGTGTTAGCACAACGCCTGCCAACAAGGGCCAAGCTCCAGCTTGCACTGCCTACCGCCGGCCCCGGGACTCTTCTCCACACAAGCACACCTTGGAGAAGCAGAGGGACACGGAGTCACAGTGCTGAGTGATCTGAGCAGGCTCCACGCCCTGGGCCACAGCCGCATTCATCAGCCGTGCGCCATCCATGTGCACCTGCAGCCCGTAGCGGTCAGCGAGCTCACGGACCTGGGGGGCAGAGGGGCAGCTGGTCTGGGATGGACCCCTAGGGCGTCTTGTCTACCATGAGCCTCACTGTGAGCTCCAGCATCCCCACAGTGTCAGTGTGCTGGGTCCAGCTGCCCACGTCAGGCAGGATTGTGCCAGCACTGTCCATGGGCTCCCACCTGCCTGAGGTAGGTGAGGGGCAGCACCCGGCCCCCTGCCGAGCTGTGTGTGTTCTCCAGGCAGATGAGCTCAGGGCGTGGGTGGTACCGGCTGCCATGGGCCTCACGGATGGTCAGCTCCAGCTGGTCTAGGTCAAAGGTGCCATCTGGCAGATCTGGCAGGGCTTGGGAATGGACACCGGCAACCTGCACCCAGGGCGGTAAGAGCATAGAGCCGACAGGGGACAGTGGTGGTGCAGGGGGGATCTGGTCCTCTGCCCCTCTGTCCCCTCCATCGGGTGTGCTCAGCCTGTACTCATGCACAGCTGTGGTTTCGAACAATCTGTGGGTCCTCTGCCTGGCCCAGTCCTGGCCGCCAGAGGAGGGCAGCACACGGCCGCCCTCCTGCCCCTGCCTGCACTGCCACCAGTGCCACCGTGCCTGCCCTCGGTACCCACCTGTGCGGCCCCACCATGCTCATAGACGTGCAGATGGGCGTTCTGGCCCAGGAACAGCTGAGCTCCCCTTTGCCGGCAGTGGCACATCACTAGGGGAAGAGAGGTTGTGAAGGAGGGGTGCCAAGGGCAGCACCCCACAGCTCTGCCCTGCTACCCTCCCACTGCCTCCACGGCAGCAGTGAGGTTCTCCCCCGGGGAAAGAAGAGCTTCTATGGCGACCCTGGCCCCAGCAACGCTCTCCCGGGGGAACGGGGCTCTGGGGACACGGGAGGCGCAGGGCTGTCCCGGCCCTCCACACGTCCCACGGGACGGGGGCTCCATTTGGCCCCGGAACGGGCCTGGGGGCGCGGGGCGCAGCGGGCGCAGCCCCGGACTCACCAGCAATAAGGTTGGCCATGGTGGCCGAGGGCACGAACAGAGCCGCCTCCGTCCCCATGGTCCCCGAGGCCCGGCGCTGCAGCTCTGCGGAGGGACACGGGAGTCCTGGAGGGCTGGCGCTGGGGGTCCCGGGGCGTCGGGAAAGTCCGTCCCCTCCGCCCACCGTTCACCGCCGGGTCCTCCCCGTAGTCGTCGTCGCCCACGGCGGCGCGGGCCATGGCGCGGCGCATCCCCGCGCACGGACGGGTTACCGTGTCGCTCCGCAGGTCCACGGCGCGCGGGGAAACCGCGACGGGGCGGGGGAACTCCGGAGGCTGCGACCCCCCAATCACCCCCCTGCGCCCCAGCAGCCAGCCCTGCCTCAGCACCGCCCGCATCGCCAGGACCGCCCCCCGCAAGGGCTCCCGGGCGGAGGCGGGATCGCCCGGCCCCTGCCCCGGGAATGGGGTAGGGACATGGGACCGTGGCGAGGGCAGTGGGCAGCAGTTCCTGCGTGGGCGCTACAGAGCCATCCCTCCATTCCTTCATCCCCCCCACTGTCCGCTCACCTCAGCCACAGTGGCGCCGGGTGACACGGGTGGGGGCCGCCCCAGCCCCGCAGTTTCCCGCGGCCCCTCGCTTTGCCAGGGGCCCCATCCTGGGCGCCAGGGGGGATCCGCGAGTCTTTCCATGGCAACGTTGTGCCGCTGCCAACAGGGCTGGCACGGGGTCACCTGGCTGCTGGGAACTGGCTGCAGCTCTGGCTGTGTCTGCCCTGGCAGCAGCCGGCACATCACCCGGTGGCACCAAAGGTGGGCTGGCACTGCACCGGTGCTGTGAGGTCTGTGGGCAGCTCCGCAGTTCTCAGCACCACCTGTCTGCTCTGGGGGGCCCAACCGGCCTTGGCAGAACTCTGCACTGCCCTGGAGCAGGAGGGCATGTGCCCAGTGCAGCAATGAGCCCCCCCCACCTTTCGCTGTCAGGCTGGACCAGCTGGGCCGTGCCTGCCTCGTGCTGTAAGTGGGGAGGGGGGCACAGCTCTGCAGAACCTGACACCTTCTCCTTGGCACTTGCAGGGCATCATCAGGGCAGGTGCATTCAGGTCCCCCCTTCGCCTCAGGGGCCCGTGCTACCCAGCCCTGCCCACCTGTGTATGTGCCACATTCCAGCCACCTGCACCATGGCTCCTGCCATGCTGATGCCTTCTATCTCCCTCCGCCCTGCCACAGCCTTGGCCCTCCCTAGATCCCACATCCTGAGCCTTGCAGCTGCCCCGCTGGCTGCCCTGCCTCTGCCTGCACCCCTGTCCATGGGGCCTCCTCCCTCATCGTCCCCCTGGCTGTCAATCCCGCAGATGAGTGAGCCATAAACAGTCCTTCACGAGACGTTTTTCACACACAGGGCCACATGTTAACAGTTTTTCTTTATTTACTGCCTCCATTTCCTCTTTGTTCCAGGAACTTGTCCTCCAACTTCAAGCTGCTCGTGATTAGGCAAAAAGGCCTCTAATCTCCCCGATCTGATTTACCGTCACTGAGAGCAGACGCTTCCCGTTACTGGCCCTGGACCTGGGAGCACGGACAGCTGAGCTGTGCCGGCTGCTGAGCCCAGCCGAGCCTCCCCAAAGCTGCCCCGCTGCACACACCGCCTTCCCGGCAGCTTCCTCTTCCAGTAAGAGCTGGGCAGCACAGCCGGTCACGTCACAGGTGAAGGGCTGGGGGGAAGAGCAGCTGTGGGGCCCTGAGCCAAGGACCCCTCCCCATGCCTGGGACGGCTGCCCTAGGGCAAGGCGGGCTTTGGAGCTGCTTTCTCTACTTGGAAGGGCTGGGTGGCTGGAGCATCCCTCAGCATTGCCTTCCAAGCCACTCACCCATCCACTCTTACAGCACCTGGTGGGGTGATTGGTGGCCCTGGGGTGCCCACAGTGGAGAGAGCTCCCATCCATCCTGGCTGTTCCTGTGCGTGGCCCCAGCAAATGCTGAGGGTTGAGAGAGCTGAGGGGCAGCTCAAGGCTCTGTGCTGTGCAGCCGCCCCAGCCCAGGCAGGATCTGCAGCCAAGCAGGGGCTCCACTGGGAGGTGGCCACATCCTCTGCAGGACCATGCAACATGGCTGGGTCTCCTCCACAGAGCCCCTTGTCCTTCAGCCCCGTACCTTTCTCTGGGTCTCTGGGCTGGGACCTCCCTCGGCGTTCTCCCCTCACTATGAGCACCCCCAGAGAGCTCCCCCATCTGCACGGGGCGCAGTAGGGCCACGGTGGGACTTGGTGGCCATATGTGGGGCAGCCAAGCTGAGGACACAGCAGTGTGGGCAGGGGGTGGGCAGTGCCAATGCCTGGCCAGTGGCTTGGCTGGCAGCTGGGGGCTTGCTGGGGGCTTGCCCAGGACCACACTGCACTGTGGCTCTGCAGCCACCACCTGCCCCCACCAGCTCCTGTGGTGGGCTGAGCCTCTGCTCCAGCCGTGCCTCCCCCAGGCTAAAATTAGCAGCTGAGGCCTGGCTGGGGAGCCGGGAGTGGAGCCCAGACCCCACCGCGGAGGATCAGGTTTCCCCCCCTCCCTGCCACAGGCCTGGCAGCCACTGGGGCTGATTCCCGGAGCTGGGCCCCCCCTGCCACCGGCCCCACCGGCAGCCCTGTCCCAGCCCTGCTGGGCCCAGCTGCTTTGCCCTGCACTGCAGGAGGCTCAAGAGGGGTTGTGGGGGGGCACAGTGCTGTACCTAACCAGACTGGGGCCAAGCCTCTGCCCCTGGCATACATGGCTACCCTGGAACAGGCTGGAAGTGAGCTCTATTCCCAGCCTCCCAGTAGAGCTGGTGGCTGCAAGGGGGGGCCTGTGGGGATGGGGCTGTCGGTGGCTCGGGTGGTGTCCTGGGGGTCTTGTGCCGGGTGCCCAGGGCTGGCTGAGGGCTGGGCAGTGACCCTGACATTCTCACCATGAACATCTGGATGGTCCCGGTCCCACCGGGGCCGGGGCAGCCGCCATCCATCACCCCTGAGGGGCCGGAGCTGCAGAGTCGAGCGGTTTCCCGCTACTGGGAATGGCAGGGCGATGCCCGGGAGCGCCGGTTCCAGGCTCAGCCGGGCCGGGTCGTGTCCCCACCCGCCGCAGTCCCGGTGTCGGTGACGTGTCCCGAGCTGCGGCCACCGTTCGCACACAGCACCGGCCAAGGTTCGGCCCGGGACAGAGCCCCGACGGGCAGAGTCCCGGGGCTGCCACGGCCGTACCCGGTGCGGGAGCCGCGGGCTGCCTCGGGGAGACTGGCGGAGCCCCGCGTGGTCCGGTGCCGGAGCCGGGGCCCGGTGGCCGCGCGGTCCCGGCCGGTGCCCCGTCCCCAGCCCGCGGGGCCGCGGGTGCCCCCCCCTCTGCCGGCAGCGACTTTTCCAGTAAAACCGCCGCAGAGATCCCGGCTTCCCGACAGGCCCGGCCTCCGCGCCGGGGGGGCGCCGGACGCCCTTAACCCTTCCCGGCCCGGCCGGCCCCGCGCTGCCCGCCCGACGGGCGACTGCGGGCCCGGGACCCGGGGCGGTTGCGCCCGCCCGGCCCGGCCCGGCGGCTCGGGGGACCTGCGGGGGACTCTGCCCGCCGAGTCCGGGGCGGCGATGGCTCCGCTCCCGAGAAACAGGGGCCCGGTGGTCCTGGGGGTCTCGGAGGCTCCAGTGCCGAGGCAGCCTGACCCGCGGCACCGGGAGCCGGTGCGAGAGACCCGACCCCTGCTCCGGGGGGCCTTTCGGCCTCAGCCCCGGCGGGGTCCAGCTGTACCGGGAAGGGCCCTCTTAGCCCCCCGTGACCCCAAACAGAGGGTTTCCCTTCTCAGGGTGCAACTGAACAGGGTCTGGACCCCTCCACAGGGCAGAGGGACCAACCCAAGGGCCAAAGAGCTGGAGAAGCGCTGGGAAAAAAGCCCCTCTGTGCTGTACCCCAGCGCGGGCTGGGGGTGGGCGCTGTGGGGATGGGGCGGCCGAGGGGTCCCTGGGAGAGCCCAGGTGCTGGGGCAGCTCTGGGGGCACTCTGGGAGAGTGCTGGTGGCAATGACGGCTCAGGGCTAGTGGCTGTACCAGCTCCACAGCCCTGCCCAGCGCTCCGTGGGGACACTCCGGACGGGTGGGCAGAGCTGGGGCTGCCCGGGCAGGGAGGCTCCGTGCTGAGAGCTGTGCAGAGTAGTCCCCGCTGTGCCCTGCCTGCCGCCAGCTGCTGCACTGGCTGAGCCAGGGCTGAGGTAAGTGCTGTAATTGTTTTCTCTGTGGCCCGAAATGAATAATTGAGAGGTCTTTGAGGAGAATTAATTAGCCCGTTTATTGGCAGTAAATGCTTTTCTCCAGATGATGAAATAGATCCTGAGCCACACGTGGGGCAGGCGGATGCAGGTCGTTGAGGCTGCTCCGGAGCTTGTGGGTGCCAGCCCGCAGGCCAGGCATGCTGGTGCCCTGTGCCTGCTGTGGGCTCCCATGGCCTCCCAGCAGTCCTGCATGCCCAGAACTCACTGCAAGCCCGGCCAGCAGAACCCAGTGTGGGTGGGAGCACAGGGCACGAAGGGGTGAGCAGGGTCCTGTGGCATTGTGGGAGCCCTCTGCCTCTATCGTGCCCATGTGGCTTCCTGCTCCCCCCAGCTCACATCCCATCCTGGGGGCTCCCTCCCTGTGCAGACCCTGCTGGGTCCCCTTGTGTCTCCTTCCTTGTGGCTGCCAGGGTGGTGCAAGCTTGGGGCTTGTGACCTGCACCTCCTCCTCCTCACCTCCTCTTTCTCCTCCTCCCTTGGGCATGAGGTGAAGGGTCCTGGACAGCCAGAAATGCTTAAACAAGGATTTCCTTGTTGCTGCACGAGCTGTTTGCCTTCTCCCAGGCCAGCCGTTAATGAGGTTTGGCAGGAGGCACTGTCAGCCCCAGCCATTGGATTTCTATAAATCAGCCTGGAGCTGATGCTTGCAGCTAGGATGGAACTGCTTGGCTTTGGTGCATGGGACTGCAGCCTGTGGGTCGTGGGAGACCCTCTGGGAGTGGAACATCCTGGCAGGGTGGAGAAGGGCAGAGGCTGAGGGGGCCAAAGAGGACAAGGGGGCTGTGGCTGCTTCCCAGCAGACAGGTCAGAGTGTCTGCTTCCAGGAATGGTGGAAAATGTAAAGCAAAAAACACAGCAGCTTCCCACAGCTGAGGTGCTGCTGTGTCCTGATCTTTCCCACATTCCCACTTCCCTTCCCCAGACCTGGAGAGGCTGTTGGGTTGTCAGAACTGGGATGGGGATGGCTTTGCCCCCCTGCCTGCCTTGCTTTGGAGTGGGGAGAGTGGCTGTGGCCATGCGTCCCCGGGCAACCTTAGATGTGCAAAGTGGGGCAGGTAAATCGCCCAGGCCCCCAGGAAGCATTGTTGCAGCTGGGGCTGGTGGTCACTGCTGCAGCTGGGGCTGGTGGTCACTGCTGCAGCTGGCCCCTGCCGGGAAGCAATGCTATAGTGGCAGGGCTGGCATGGGGGCCCTTTGCACTGAAGCCGCCGTGGCAGATGTGCTGGCTGCTGCTGGTACAGGGACGCTGCCAGGGCTGCAGGTCCTGTGGAGTGCCAGGCTACTGCTTCCCACAGGGACACAGGCTGTTCCCAGCCAGCAGTCTTGCTGGGATGTCCAGAGTGGGGCAGGGGACAGGTTCCCATCAAGAAGGGCTTCCTGGGAACGGATGCTCAGGCATTCTGCTCCCGGCAGTCCTGTGTACAGGAAAGGAGGCTCTGGGAAGCAGGACCCTTATCTCTGGTTTTCCACAGCCATGTGTTCCCCTCGCTGTTGTGGGGCCGTGGGCAGCTGGGCTTTGCTCTCCTCATCGGTGGGACAGTTTGTTTGGGAACTGGCACAGCCTGTCTGTGCTGTGCCAGGTTGGGGGGAGCAGCAAGTCTCAAAGGTGACGTTTTAGTTCCTGCTCTGATTGTGCTTCCCCCTTATTCAGAAACCCCTCTGCTCTTGCTTGGAAAGAGAGTTTCTGCAGTGTGTGGAAAACAAGAGAATCCCCAGCCCCAGCATGGCTCCAATTCACTGCTGGCTGCTGGAAAAGCTTCAGCCTCCCTGCTAGTAGCCTGGCCAATGGTGGGGCAGCCTCCAGGTCAGGGGTGTCCCTCCAGGTCAGCAGTTTCCCCACACAGTGACCCCGCAGGAGGACAGCACTAGGATAATGGTGGGGGCAGTGAGCAGGGTTTGGCAGGAGCTGCTCCTCTGTCTGCAGCTGCACACTTCCACCCTGCCAGTATTCCCTACTCTGCTCCCGTTAGCCTGGGCTACTGCCAGGCCTACCTGGGGTGGGATGTGCCCAGTCAGAGAGGGAAGATGCTGCTGCTAAGGCAGAGCCTTCCTCTTAGAGTTGTGACTGGAATCTGCCACTTCCCCTCTGTCTGGACCCATCTGTGGGTGTGAGTGCAGCTGGAGGCTCTGAACCGCAGCCGATCCCCGCAGCAGCAGCAGTGTGGTGCTGAGCGTGGGCAGCACTGGGGAGCCCTCAGGCTCCCAGGGACCCACTCATGGCTGGGGCAGCTGTGGATGGCACCCGAGTGCACAGCTCTGTGAGTGGGCACCTGCACCGCGCTGGGAACCCGGGTCGGTTCTGGCCCTGTCACTGCTCTGTCAGCCCCAGGGCCCTGCTCCGTGCCGTGGGCAGGGTCTCTCTGTGCCAAGGTGCCTGTGCCCACACCTCTCGGCAGCTGCTGCAGCTGCAAGGCTGGGGCTGGGAACAGGAACCCCGGCGGGAGGTTGTGCAAGGAGGGGGGACCCGGGAGGGCACGGCCAGTGTTGAAATTCCACACTCTTACAGAAAAGCCCCCGGGCAGAATTCCTGACAGGGGTGATTCATCCCCCACTGGAAGTGATGACTTTGCCTCTCCAGTAAACACTACTCAGCCTAGCAGGGTGCCACTGCGCCCTCCTGTCACCCACTGGTGGGATGACCCTGCTGAGGAGGGCTGGGGTGGTGGGTGGGTGGGAACCTCTGGGCAGCAGAGAGATGGGTGCCGAGGGCAGAACTGAATCCCTGGCTCCCTGCCCCAGCGGCTGTCCAAACCTGGTGCAGAGCAGTGCTGCTGCCAGGTGCTTTGGGGGGCCCGTCCCTGCGGGTGAGGGCACACGGGACAGCCCTTTCCAGGAAGCATGTGAGGGCAGACAGGCTGCGGAGTTCCCGACAGCAGCTCTGGTTTTAATAACAGCAAATCAATGGATGCCCGATTCCGGCCAGAGCAAACTCTTGTGCTTCCTCCCCGGCCTCCCCCACTGGCGGCTTCCCTGCAGGGCAGAATGACCCAGGTGGGAGCCCCAGCCTTGGCCGCTGCACGTGGGGCTCCAAATGCTGATGGCCTGTGCCTGCCCGTGCTGCCTGCTGCACCCTGTCCAAGTGTGCTGCCTCCACCCAGCCTCACTGTAGGGAGGGGAGGTTGGGGGTCCTCGGTGCCCCTGCCCTCCCTGCTGTGCCCAAGCCCCATGGAGGTGATGCCTGTGGGGCTGCTCTGTGGCAGGGCACTCCCAGATGCTCCAGCCACTCGTTTCCCCAGCCCCGCGCTGTGATTCCGCCTCCTCCCCATGGGTTTGCACAAATCTCCCGCTCGCTTTGTGCTTGTTTTGAGAACAGATTAGTCATGGCTCTGAGCTGGCTTCCAGCAAATGCACAACAGCACCATGGAAAAACGAGAACAGCAAAGTGATGACTCAGCAGGGCTCCTGCTCCGTCCCTGGGGTGCCAACTGTCCCTGCTCCCGATGGCCCCGGGCATTGGTGGGACCACCCAGGGATGTGGCAGCCTGGCCAGGGCGGGTGGTCAATGGCGGGAAAGAGTCAGGGGCAGCGCCTGCCTGGAAGCTGCAGTGGTGGTGTCAGGGTGGGACATCAGGTCCCTGAGGGTGACGGACCCTTGGGTAGAGCCTCCTCCCCTTCCCCTGCCCCCTCCTGCACCTGGTGGGGGGGGGCTACCCTCTGGCCTGCTGGCACCTTGCTGCCCTGAACCCCCACTGCACAAGTGGCCAGAGCATCACGCTGCTGGCAGCTCCAGCTCAGTGCCCAGCAAGGCTGGTGGGTGCTGGAGTTGCTGCAATGATGGGTGGCTGCCAGGACCCCGCGACAGACTGGGGATCCCCGGCTGTGTGGGCTCAGCAGTCAACCCTGGGCACCGGGGCCTCCCAGCCAGCACCTGCACGCCAGGGCCGTGCTAGTGACGGGAACTCCTGGGGCGGGCCCTTACCGTACCTCACACCTCGCTCTGCAGCCCTTCCCTGCCCTGCCTTGGCCGGCTGCCTGGCAGCACAGAGCGCTGCCAAGCCTCCCTGCCAGGTGGCTTATTGTGATCCCATGGCACTGGACACCAACTGGTGTTGGCTGCCAAGGATGAACAATGTAATTGCTAGAATTACTGTAAAGTGCTCCTATTCCCACTCATTAAATGCTGAGACAGGGCCCCTGGGTCCTTCTAGGGAATGTCTGCTCCAGCTGTGCCCTCCACCAGCCACACGCCCCATCCTCACCCACGTAGCACTACTGGTGCCCATTGCCTCCCACCTGACTGGCGCGGGCTGGGGTTGTTCTCTGCTGATGGCCCCTGGAGCCATGGGACAGGCAGAGCCCACCAGGCTGGGGGGACATTCAAGCCCCCCCAACACCGTGCACTGGAGAGAAGGTGGCAGGTGAGGAAGGCAGGGCTGGACTGCAGACACAGCCATGTGTGTGGCACTGCCATCACCGGTTCCTGTGCTGAGGCTGAGGCCAGGGCTGATGTGAGGCCAAGGGATGGTCCAGGGCTGGGGTTTGGCACCTGCCCATAGCTGTTCTGCTCGGGTCATCTGAGAACTCTGTGCTGTGCTGGGCAAGCACACCCCAGGCAGCTGGCAGGCTGCTGCCAGCACACCCGCGGGGACTCCCGTGCCGTGCCACGTGCTCAGCAGTGACCGCAGTCGGTGGTCGGCACCTCCCCGCTCCCTGTGAGTGTGGGGGCAAGAGCAGTGAGGCTCTGGGCACGAGTCCCTGCGGGGCAGCAGAGACCTGGGGCTTGGGGGCCCCGGGCAGCGCAGCTCACGGAGCTGCTGATGGAAGGAGTGA